AAGTCACTTTTGGATCTGTTGAATCCGTGTTTAATGGCAAAGTCATTAAACGTCTTGTTCCAGCATTTTGGTGCTTCTTTGAGACCGTACAATGCTCTTTTAAGTTTGAGCACCGTTCCTTTCTCTTCGTTTAAACCTTGAGGTGGTTTGATATATACCTCCGATTGAAGTCGTCCATTTAGAAATGCTGTTGGTATATCCATTTGATTTATTTTCCAGCCATTTTGTAGAGCGATCGAAAACAGCATCCTCACTGTCGAGAGTCTAGCTACCGGTGCGTACATAGACTCCTCTTCATGTAGTTGGTATCCTTTAGCGACCAACCTTGCCTTTTTGATACCTTGTTCTTTGGTTCTGAATATCCACTTTGTATCAATAGCTTGAACTCCTTTGGGCAGCATTGTTTTTTCCCAAGTTCCCAGCTTTTTGTGAGCTTCTAGCTCTTTGTCTATTGCTATTTTCCATTCTTCTTGTTGTACTGCTTCATTGTAAGTTTTGGGATCGGCGTTGGCCAATAAACAGTAACTCATATACACCTGATAGTCTTTTAAGTGACTAGGTGCTTTCCTAGCTCTTCTTGTTCTGTTTGTATTCTGTGGTAATTCTTCATTCTTCTCTTCTTCATTCTCTTCTTCTTCAGTGATGTTTTCTTTTTCTTCATCTGGTTTATTCTCTTCTCCCAGTTGTTCATTTTTCTTTTCTTCTTGCTGTATTTCTTCATCTATTCTTATTGTTTCTTTTTTCAGTTGATTTTTCCTTTCATCAAACTTTACGTCTCTCACTGAGATAATCTTGTCCGTCGATGGGACCCACACTCTATATCCATTATCGCAATATCCTACCATTCTTCCTTCTACTGCTCTGTTTTCAAATTTTCCTGTTTTTGGTAATATGTATGACCATGTTTTGCATCCGAATACTCTTATTTTTCCTAAATTCACATGACCATACCATCTTTTGGCTGGTATGTCTTCTTTGAGAGCACTTGTAGGAGATCTGTTCAACAGAAATGCAGCTGTCCTTGTTGCTTCTCCCCATAGATTCCTCGGTAGATCATTTCCTGACATCATTGCTCTGGCTTTGTCCAGTAACGTTCTGTTCATCCTCTCGCTTACCCCATTCTGTTGTGGTGTGTAAGGGATGGTACTTTGTATCCTTATTCCTTTAAGATTACAGAAATTTTTTAATTCTACATTTAGGAACTCTTTTCCATTATCACAGCGTATTTTGTACACTTTGTTTCCAAATTGTGCTTTGATTCTTCGTACATAGTTTTTTATATTATTAACTGCTTCATCTTTGCATTTTAACAAGTACACTGTTGTGAAGTGAGTATAATCGTCGATAATTGTCTGAAAGTATCTCTCACCATTGATGGTTGGTGGATTTATTGGTCCACAAAGGTCAGTGTGGAGCAATTCACCAGTCCTGCGTGATCGAGGATATTGACAACTCATAAATGGCACTCTTGTGAACTTACCCTCTGTGCATGTTTCACAATCATTCTCATCCACTGGTAATTCCATTATCTTCATTCCTTTTCTATTCAGGTGACCCATTCTTCTATGCCATAATGATGAATCGTTCTCCGCTCCATATGCTACGTTCCTCTCATTTCTTATTTTGAACGTCATTGTGTATATTTTCCCTTCCTTCTTTGTAACCAAACTCACGTTCTTACCTTTTATTTTTGTTATGTCTTCATCGAAGGTGATGGTGAAGCCTCGTTTTGTCAATTGGTTCACTGACAGCAGATTGTGACTTAAATTTTTTACGATAAGAGCTTCTAAGCATATTCTTTTTCCTTTATATAATAGCAACAGTTTTCCTTTTTTCTTTGCTTTTAATATATCATCATTTGCTGTTCTTATTAAGATTTCTTGAGAAATCATTTCCACGGATTTCATACTTTTCTCTAATTCATCATTTACTAGATGCTCAGTGGCACCCGAGTCGATGACAAATGTCACTGTTTTTTCTTCGCACTTTGTTTCCAAACATATATTATTTTCATTCATTGCTAGAAACGTTATATTATCATTATGTGAAACCATCTTTGCGTGACTTGGTTTGCCTCTTTGACTGAAACGCGTTTTTCCTCCTCTGCTTTCATACTTGTTTTCTCTGTGTTTGTTGGGACACTCATAGCTTTTGTGATCCTTTTTTCCACACCCGAAACATACCAGGAAACTTGTTTCTTTTTCCACGACTGTTGCAGATACATCTTCCCTTTTCAGTTCATATTTTAGCAGTCTAGTCTTCACGAAATCCAAAGTAACACTTGTCGTCATCGTTTCAATAGCGGTGACTACATTGTCGTAACTGGCTGGTACCGTTATTAGCAAATGACACACTTTGTCATCTTCCTCAATTTTTCTTCCTGAGGCTGATTCGAGATCTCTTATCAATGAGTCGAATTTAATGAAATGTTGTTCCAATTTTTCATTTTCTTTTAGCTTTAATGATAATAACTTCTTTTTTATGTATATTTTAGTGAATACACTTTTCCTTTCAAAGACATTCTGTAATGCGTTTATCATATCACTTGCATGTTCTTTGTCTTTCACATATTCTAAGTGCTTATCAGTTATGCACTGTATTATGATGGCTTTAGCTACACTATCATCTTTAGTGTAAGTGGCACCTGTGGGATCAGGATCTTCCACGACTTTTCTTACCCCTCTTTCTTCCAATATTGCCAGCACCCTAAATTTCCAGTTTGAGAAATGTTCTCCATCGAACAGTGGCAAATATTTAGTAGTTGTTTGTAACATTTTTGCTTTCGTGTATTTTTACGATAACGATATAATCTTACTTTTCCTTTCCTGACGCCACGTGGGTACTGGGCCCATAACCTTTGTTGGATTTCTTTATTGTAATTTTGTACATCGCACCTCGCTTCCAAAAACGCTTCTTCTCTTTTTTCCCGATCGCGCACACCTTTTTTTCCTTCTCACCAATCATACCCACTCATCATTCATACCAACCCAGCAAAAGCTAGATATTTTCACACTAATAAACGACATATATTGCAATTTAATTTTTTAGCAACAGAATGGGACCCATAACCAGAAATATAAATTTTAATGGAATCATCTACAACACAATCGGACAAGTATTCGGTATCGAAGATTCCTGAGAAACAAGTCACATCAGTGGGAAGATCATGAAGATCGTTATTATTGTCATCACAAATTCGAAATTTATTTTTGATTTCAGTAAGAGAAAACGAATTTGCCGATTTTGTAAATATATGTTTTAATCTAATTTTTTTTTCTGCATGAATTATTTCGTTATATGACACATGATAATTACAACCAGATAAAAGTCTATAATTTCCAAATCGTTTTTCTAATTTTTCGGTTGTAAAATGGAGGGTACTACATTCCTTATAAGCCTTGGACATCTCAACAAAACATTCTCCAGTACACCATTGGGCGATAGAATACCGTGGTACCTTTCAATATCAGTTTCTGCAAAATGCAAACTACAGACGGCAGAATATTTTGATGGTGTCCAATTCTTACGAGGAATAGCAACCCTCCATTTCTCCCGCAATTCCTCATCTTTGGGGAATAAAAATATAGAATTGTAATTATTATCTTTTAAGGTACTGTCATAATTTCCCTTGCAATTGGGAACACAGCAACGCCGTGGCATTATTAATGAATATGTGAAATTTATAAAAAAAGTGTATATAAAACAAAATGTCCAAAAATGCTATAGATTATATTAAATAAGTGTGCTACACACCAAAATCAGGATCTGTAGAGTTAATATAAATAAATGAAACACCTGGATTATTGCTCCGTTGCTCACATTTAATGGACTTCAGTACATTAATATTTGAAACATTTGAAAGATAGGCGGGAGACGGGAAGGCCGGTAGATGGAGCCTATGTAGCCCAGAGGCCGGTGGGTAGTGGGAGGCTGGGAGGCTGTTACGATAGGTTGGGCTAGGTATATCGAAGCCGGACTCCCGCGGTGTTGCCATTTTACTTTCAGCACGGCTAGTAATTACTAGAGTCGGCTGTGCTAACAGTGATGACAAAATCACGATCACGTTCATGATTAAACTCCATTCACGACCGAGATCCGAAAGATGGCGTTCTAGTAGCAGTTTTAGAAATGGCGTGAATTGCTACTTTTGAATCACTCGTGATTCGATCACGTTCATTCCCAATCATAATGATTTTTCACAATGATTCGTGATTCTTTGTGATCGCTTTTGATTGATGGGAAGCGTTCTTTTCACTTTTCACAAATTATGTCCTTAGATTAATTTTCTTATTAGGAGAAAGAAAAGGAAAAATTAAAAGTGATAAATAGATGTAAGTATAAGTTTTATTTCTGATTGTTTCAACATTCGTTTCATAAATGTTTGTGAAATTTTTCAACAAAGTAATGTATACGCAAAACTAACTTCTTTGTAATTTGAAATTCTAACTTATTTCTTTATAATATAAATATGTACAAAATGTCATATTAATGTATAAAAACGTATATAAATGTATAATATGTATGTTTTCATATAAATGAACATAAAAATTTCCATTACAGATAATTTTATACTTTTTCTTATTTTTAAAGCGAGTGTTTCATACCTAAGCAATACTTCTTATAATTTATTTAAATAATCGACTGAAACAATTTGACATTTGAAATGTACAAAATATACAATTAAGCAAGCTTTTTCATTGCTTGGACTATATTACTATACTATTTAAATTTGACGCATTTGTAATTCTTTGAATTTCCACTGAGGAGAGTTAGCGGAACACTAACGATCACAGTTAACGTAAACCGCTACTAAAACGCCATCTTTCTGGTCACGGTCATGAATGGAGTTTAATCACGAGCGTGATCGTGATTTTGTGCTTACTGTGATAAATCACTGTTAGTGATTTTGCACGCTATCCCTAGTTAGCATGCGCGTTTCTTACGCAAAATTGCATCTCGATTCTCGAATCTCGAAGTTCGTTTGAGTTGTCGACTTCGGTATCCAAGATGGCCGCGATGACAGATAGACCGAGCTGTTAACTGAACGCGGGATACGCCTAAAATTCCAGTGATCCGATCGAACCATATCTTTTCTATATTTTCGATAAAATGAACGTAATAAGTTGGTGCAGTGGTGTGAAAGGCGGAGGATCCATGAGGGACAAATGACTTTTGCACACGCGTATGCTACGTTTTGTGTTCGGTCTGTTTTTTCACGGAGATCAATTTGTCCGTCAAAAACAAGAACTCGCTCTAAGGAAAACGATCAAAGGTGTCGTATAATTCCTGTGATAATTAGTTTCTACACGTGGCTTGTGCTCGAAGAAAGAGTCTTCAACGTGGAAGAATCGTTTCTGTTACTCGTTTTTGTGCCTCTAATTTAAACGAGTGTATACTTCTTGCAGATTAAAAGTTCTGAGGCTTATGCATTGAAAAATTTGAGCTTCAGAATAGAGAAAATGGAGGCAGTCGTGCTGCACAACTACGAAGCTCAGGAACCTGACGAGCTTACTTTGAAGAAACGAGACATTATCACCGATATTAAAGTTACTCTTGGCGGTTGGTGGGAAGGTACCATAAGAGACAAACGTGGCTTGTTTCCCAACAATTTCGTCAAGGTATTTTCTCTGATTCCTATAGAATTTATGTTTCGTTGAACTTTTGTTTAACGCTTGTGTTAAAAACTGCTTTGAATCACTCGTTTTTGGCAATTGTACGCTAATTTATGTTTTGTGAAATAAAAATATATTCATAAGGCTTTTAGTACAAAGGTTTTAAACTTATTAAGACCTTTTACGAATTCTGTTAATTTCATTCCCCTAGGTATTTTAAAATTATTTTAATATCTATGCAGATTATTCCACGCTTATGAGAACAGGTTACAAATTTCAAAGTTGTCAAAGCCAATAGTAGTGTCAGACTATGTTTGTTTATTCTCAGCACCATTGTTTAATACTATATAAAAATGGTAATAGTTTATTTGAAGTGAGTTTTAAATAAATTAAAGGGAAAGCGTAGGAGCAAAATTGTTGCTATATGTTTGATTTACCTGAAAAGAAATAGGGCACTATTGAACACTGAAGAAAAAATTAGTTATTGAGATAAGGTTTAAAAAATAACATTAATTGATATATATGAACGCGAAGATTGGATGCGTAGTGGTATATGGGTGTCGATGCATTTTTGGGAGAAATAATTTTATATAATTAGACAGGGTTAATCAGATAAAGTAAAGTAAGAACAAAAGGAATGATAATGTGGTACAAACGGTGTAATGTAGAGACAGAATCCTTGTAATCCATATGGAAATCTATTAAGTAACATTAATTTAGGTATTAGAGCCTTTGTCGGGTGGAAGTGCAGGAAACGGAGGATGCAAAGTGGCTTCGGAAGAAGTTCCTTTGAAGAATGGAGGCTCGAGAAAACGATTTTGTAAAGTGCTTTTTAGTTACGAGCCTTGTAAAAATGACGAATTAAAATTAATACCTCAAGATACAATAGAATTTTGGGGCGAGGCCGAAAATGGATGGTGGAAAGGTAGACTCAAAGACAGAGTTGGAGTATTCCCCTCCAACTTTGTATCTCCGCTTTACGAAGAATCCGAAACGCACAAAGATCAAGAGAAAAAAGAATTGTGCAAAGTAATTTCCTCTTACGAAGCTGCCAATGAAGATGAATTAACGTTAAGCGAAGGAGATATAATAACCCTTTATTCGAGAGATGCTCCTGACGAGGTACAGAAAAACATAATCGTATAACTATGTACTAACTCCAAAAGGAATTATCCATGTGAAGTAAACGTCGAGTAATTTTTAGGGTTGGTGTATAGGAGAATTGAAGGGCCAAGTGGGTTGGTTTCCTGATAATTTTGTCGAAATGATAAATTCTGTAACGGATCATCAGGATCACGAACAGAGACATGAATCATATGTGAAATCGCTTACAGAACATTCCGATCGGGTAAAGAAGAATAAAAAACCGTATATTAGAAGAAGTTTGGATGTACAATCTGTAAACACAGGTATTAACTTATTTCTACAATACAGTTCAAAAAATTGTGTGAGGTCTGGAAATGGATTGTAAGGTCATGATTTTCTTAAATGTAGAATCAACTAAGGTGACCATATCAACGACTGTACCTTCTTCGATAACATCCACTTCTCCAGGTGTAGGAGGAAGTAATGGGGAAAGAGTATCGATAGGAACGCATTTAATCATATCGAATTTAAAACGCCTTGTACGCGACGTTGAACCCAACAGTGACAATGGAAGCAATAATACAGCTTTGGGCGAAGAATTGGACGGTGTGGAACGAGGAGGAGCACCACTTTCACATTTAACAGCATCTCGAGCTAAAGCACCCCGTCGGCGCCCACCTTCTTCGCGACGCTTACGACATCATGCCACTGGACCAGCCAACACCACCACATCCACCACGAAACCGGTTAATATTCATAATATTGTTCAAATACGTAAAGTCGGGCAAAGGGTATAGTCGAATAAGGGGGTATAAATGTGCCCTTGAACCAAATTTGACATATAATGGATCCATTGATAGAGCATCAGAATCAAACATTCTGTGCCAAGTTTCAACCCTCTATCTTGATCGGAAGGGTAGTTACAGGGAAAATTCGGATTATCGAATTTGTGCCTATTTTCCGTATTTAATCGAGTATGAAAATTACGTAAAAAATCTGGTGCATTGTGGTTATCGAGATACGAGTTCAGGAATTTTTTTTGATTTTTCAATTCCAAATTCTAGGCGTGAAAAATTAAAGACACAAAAAAATGCAGAAAAATACCGATTTCGTATTGAAGCTTTCGAGACACTAGATTTATATAATTACTGTAAATGCGTATTGTCATTGGTTATGTCCCTGAATTTTTTTAGATTTTTTGGCAGGGTGCGCCGTAGTGGCATAAATCAAAAACCGATTTTCCGGTATTTTTCGTGTGAAAAAGCAACTTATACTTTGAATTTTTGTATTCTCTTTAATGGGTAACTATATTTTATGGGTTTAAACAATTTTATGTTGAGTAGAACGGTGTATAAAATAGAAAAACAAAAATAAGTCACCAAATTAAAGGTGCAATGCGTATTATACTCGGAAGTATCAGCTGTATTTTCAAGAGGTGAGATGGTGCAGTGAGTAAAATGCTTGACTGTGGATACGCTGCAAACTTTTTGACACTGTTTCGTGCCCCGTTTAAAGCATATCTTTTTTTTATTATATTAATTATATATTTTTTCAATTTTCAACTATATGACAATGAAAATCTATTTAAAATATTTAAATAATATTTTCATCTAAAATATACACAAAAACAATTATGGAGCAGTTTCTATTCCATGGTTTATCTAACAAAAAATTACGCGTTATAAAAATAGTCGGATTATATTTTAGAATAGCATGCTTTCTTAACAATTCATTTTGAAAACGCTTAAATTCAAACGTTGCACTCCGTGATGAAATAGTAAACAGAATGTCAAGTCAATAAGAGTGAGATTTTAAAACTAAACACGTATATTCACTTAACGTAGAAAAAATAAAACAGTATGGTATTTAAGCGAATACACAGCTAGAGAAACGATGGAATAGAAACTGCTCCATAATTGTTTTTGTGTATATTTTAGGTGAAAATATTTTTTAAATATCTTAAATAGATTTTCATTGGCATATAGTTAAAAATTGAAAAAATATGTAATTAATAAAATTAAAAAAAGATGTGCTTTATATGGGACGCGAACCAGCGTCAAAAAATTTGCAACGTATCCACAGTCAAGCATCTTACTCACTGCACCATCCCACCTCTTGAAAATACTGCTGATACTTCTGAATATAACACGCATAGCACCTTTAATTTGGTGACTTATTTTTGTTTTTCTATTCTATACACCGTTCTACGGTCATATGTCAAATTTGGTTCAAGGGCACATTTGACCCCCTTATTCGGCTATACCCTTTTGTTTACGATTAACAAATAAAAATGTTAAATTCACTCGTAAACTAGCTTTTGCACACGGCTTTTGTGATTAACTATATTGTCTACAATATTAGACAGAAACATCTATATTCAAATTATGGAAATGTTTATGTGTCATAAATGGTTATCAATCTTGGTAAACCTTAAGTTTAGGGGAGGCAGCTGCGATGACCTTGACCTTGACACATGTTGTCAAGGTCACCCCTCTGAATGACCCTCAAAAGGTTATAGCCGTCGCTCGCTTTATATTAAAAAGTTATTAATAAAAATGTATTATTGGTATTACACTAGAATCAGCGTATAACTATACTCAATGTGATCTTGATGTTCACATAGTTTATGAAGGTCACACTCTTGAGCATCCCCCCAAAAAGTTATAGCTACCTCTTGCTTTTTATTAAAAAGTTATTAGTATATAACAATTACTGGGAACAAAAAACAAGAATATGGAATTTCATGAGCATAATATAAAACATCCCCCACGAGTTGAACAGTATCATATTAAATTCGTTTTGCTGACTGGGGGGCTGCGACCCCCAGACCTCCCTAAAAACTACACTAACTAATACCGACATCCATTTATACACACAAAATATAGAAAGATTGTGGAGGGATATGATAGCAAATATGTCTCGCTATGGCACTCATGAATATCATTATACGAATTACCTGGCAGAATTTTTATTTAAAAGAATTTGTAATTTTGACAAACGCATTCAGAGTTTCTTTGAAATAATGAGTTCTGTATGTCCATTAGATCATTTACATACTGATTAAATTTTCATTTTACATACTCATCAACTGTTTCTTATATTATATCACAGTAATCGTCTATTCATTATTGATCCATTATATAATTTTTCTATGCTAATAACTTTTTAACTGAGTAACTTTTGGATGTCAAGGTCAAGGTCGTCGGAGCTGCCTCCCCTAAATATAAGGTTTACCCATATCTCTAATAATTATTTTATGGGTATACAAAGTTTTGGAGTATCGGAGTTTTGACAAAATTTCGATTATTTTTATTTATTTACGATAGGAAGATAATTTAGCAAACTGGAATCCAGACACTATGTTAGAACAGTTTCGCGAAGAAGAATCCGAAGGACTGACTGCGAAAGCAAGAAGGAAAGCGCCATGGGTAATTAAATATGCTTACGCTCGTACAGACCTTGCAATAGTAAACGTTCAATTTATTTAATGATAAATTATTGATATCTAGGTAGAAGAATTGAAATTAAATCAACTAGAAAAGCGAAAAATAGGACCGATCGATCGTGTCGATAAAGCCGAAGTTAAGAAAGAACGCAGTTATCCACGGTAGGTTTAATTGAATTTTTTTTTCCTTTCAAGTTAGCCTCTCATTTCCTAAATTAACGGTTTCCATAAATCTGGTGTTAATCCCGATAACAGTTTCAAAACAATATCTTTACTCAACAAGTTTTTTAAAATTGTTGCTTTTAATTGCTATACAGGTTGACAACGACGTCTGCCTTGGAGTTGATTAACAAATTGAAAGCAAAAAGTGAAGAAATTAAATCAAAAGATAAGAGTCAAAAATCTGATACGTCTCCGCATCTCGAGCAAACTTTAGCTACGTCTGGTACTCCTGCTTATGTTCCGTATGGTCTCTACAATCAACTATTACAGAGGGTAAGCACAATAACAACGCTAATTAATTGGTACAGTCGTATATTACAAGTACAATAATTTTATTTTAAATGCGGTAAACATTTATTGATAAAAATTATTTAAAACAGGTTGCAGCGTTGGAAGAGGAACAAGCATTGTTGCAGCAAATGATGGACCTTTTTTTGGATCAGTTTGTACCTCTTTTGTCTTGGATCAACAGCCCTACAGATTAAGAGATTCGAACGCATAAATTCTACAGTATGTTTCTTTCTTTGTTATCGTTTTACGCATAATGTAATTGTTTCGATTTTTCTATCTATTGTAAATAGGAGAGTCAGCTGGCAATTCTTTTATTTATTATAATATGGTAACAGTATTTCTCTAAACTTGTTGATAAATGTAACATTCCGTACGTTGTGTTTTGTAGATAAGAAAAAGTATTCCTCTGGTTCGCGATTAGATTACATCGCAACTGCCTGATTATTTGATATATGCATATTTTTGTAAGTGGAGCCCAAGTATTTCAGACAGATGCATTTCTTACTATACCGTTCGAATTCTTTTATTTCTATAACGATATAATTTTTTATTAGTTTTTGATTATACGTAATTGGATGAAATTTAAAGTATGTTTTCTTAATCAGTCAACGTGGAAGCATTTGAGTCGTTACAAGCCAAAGTGATTAACTCCACTTGTTGCGCTTTTTAAAATCTCAGTATCAAAGCACTCGATTGATACATAACTTTATATTTAAAATAAAAGAAATTTAAATATTGAACCGAACCTTAAGAAAGAATATATATTATTTTATCGATTTCTTTTCTTTTCCTTTTGTGGAATTAATTGATTTGGCAAATGAGCGGCTCATTTAAGAATGTACTTACTGACGATTAGATGCTGGAGGATATTCTTCTGGGACAATTTCAGCTTAAACGTACGCTAATTTATTTGAAGTAGGACACGTGATATGTCTGAAAGCTACGATTAACAGTGCCACTTTATGCTGACCAGTTAACAGATACCTGGCATATACAGATACACGGGTAATTATTTTAAAAGTATTCTCCAACATTCATTTAAAAAATAAATGTATTTTCAACGTGTATTTAAGATACACGTGTACCAGTTTAGACGTTATTCGAATAAGGAGTAACAAATGAAATTTTATTTATTATTCGATTATAATTCTCGAAGTTTATTCATTATTTATTATTATTCGTTCAGTATTGTTCATTTTATTGATCTATGCTTGAGCATGATTGGGAAGTAGGGAATAAGGAAAACAGCTATAAACATTTTGCGTAGAGCAGATTCATAAACTAATTTCTATCTACGTTAGCTCACGAATGAACTAACTTTATTCGCGAATAAAATTTGCCCAACTCTGAACGAGTTTAGACATTTTTATTCGTTATTCGAGAATAAAATCGGTTTATTCGTTATTTGAAACAACTTTGGTCTGACGTTGGTTCGCGTGTATACAAAATAGAATTTGATATAGTCGATTTCGAAAACATTGATATACAGGGTGTTCGGTCACCTCTGGGAAAAATTTTAATGGGGTATTCTAGAGGCCAAAATACGACGAAAATCAAGAATACCAATTTGTTGATGGAGGCTTCGTTAAAAAGTTATTAACGTTTAAAGTTCCACCGTACTGAATTTTTTTTTTCAAAAATGCGTAAGATTTCGGGGGTATGCCTATTCACAAAAAATGGATGTAACTGACCCCCGCAACCGAAAATAATTTTTCCAGAACGATTTGAAATTTTTTAATTTAACTGTTAATAACTTTTCAACGAAGCCTCCATCAACAAATTGGTATTCTTGATTTTCGTCTTATTTTGGTCTCTAGAATCCCCCATTAAAATTTTTCCCAGAGGTTGTCGAACATCCTGTATAAAATGCATAAAATAGTATTAGATAGTTAATCAAATTGGCTTTTGAAATAAATTATTTATTATTTACAGGCTAAAAAGACATGGTCATTTAGTGGTCTTAGAGCTAATTATTAACCCCTTGCACTACGCTGAAATTCGGAAGAAGCCCGGATTGAGCATCGGGTGCATTACTCACACTATAAGAGCTCACATACGTGTGATCTGGCATAGTGTGAGAAAGTGTCTTCGGTGCACTTCTGGCATCTCTGAGTCAGACTCGTGTTATTCACGTTTGACATGAAATTAAACAATGAGCCTGACTCGTGATATTCAAGTTTAGTTTAAAATTTTCATCACGAGTCAGACTCGTGAAAATGGTGCAAGGGGTTAAGGAAATTTATTTTAAATATAACAAGTAAAGAGTTAATCAACTTGACTTGCAAACGGCTCAAATATCGAAATACAAAATAATCGAAAGATCGATTATTTTTTCTCTGATAAAGGCACGTGATCAAGCCCATCGCAGACGAGCAAATTTTCGTCACACGATTGTCTTCGTTGTTTTTAATTGGCAAAATAAGAAAAGACATTCGATCTTGTATAAAAAAAATCGTTCGTCCGTTTCGAGACTTTCCATATTTTTTTTTTTTTTTATAAAAAATAGAACACGATTGTTTTCTAGACTTTCGTTGACTAACATGGCTAGGTTTTCTCCCTCCGAGTGTACTTACGTAAGTCGTTAAATAATTGAAAATTATATAATTTGTATTTATTTGTTTGTTAAAGAGCTGCCTCGCAAATACAATACGATGGTTAATCATTCTTAAGTTTATCGAATAATTCAAGTGCCAATATATTTAATTTCCTCTTGCATAATTTTGTAATGTGAAAAAAACAAACGCTAAACGTCTTTAGTTGTAATTAATAATACGAGGAGAGAACTCGAACCGACTTGGATTTCATCGACCTTTTGCAAACTAATAGCTTACAGGTTCCTAGCTATACGTGTAAAATATTTTTAAAGTTATAAATAATTGAGGTTACGTAGTTTTCAAGGACCCATTTTCTGCCCAACTGTTTCACTTGAAATAACGAATCTAACGTACCCTTATAGCTGCAGTTAAAATGAAAATAGAAAAGACAGAACTTATTTTTGTTGTTAATTTTGAAAACAAATTGTAGTAGTTTAGTTATAGTAAATAAAGTTTTGTTTTTCGCAATTTTGTGATGCAGGATAATTGTTAACGTACGTATAGAAAAGACAAAAAATATTCCAGCACGATGGACACATAATAAAACCTTGTTTGTCGCACAAATATTTTTTAGTTTTTGCTTTGGAAAGAGAATTTCAATACTATACTAATAGTACCTCTTTCAAACTGTTATCTGAAAAAATAAGTATTGATTATTATTTATACATTCAAATAATTATCACGGAAAAATAAATAGGTTTAATAAGAATCGATCATAAAATTTACAAGCCACAAAATTTTCTTGTTTCGCTATTGCAATTTTTGTAACATATAAATACACTTTAGTTGTTTATATCTTTTAAACTATCAATCAATTATGTCCAATATTTCACTATTGTATCGTTAGACACCTGCGTATACCATAGTTCTACAAAAACTCAATGAAATCGAAGTAAATACTTTGAAACTAAGTTTCCTAATCGATTAGCAAAATGTATTTTCCCCTCCGTATGTAAGTTGGAATGGTGCTATGTGATAAAATAATTGTGATATGTTCTGTCACATATTATAATACGACTAAATAAGGCAGCAAACTATGATTAACAATTTTTGTCCTAATTACGATTACTAACAAACCGAGTAACAATATGTATCGATGCTCGCCTGATTAAAATCGCATATTGATAACTTTATTCCATATAATCACGAAACTGTTAAATACTTGAAATCTTTTTATTTTTTTAAAATAAACAAAATTTTAAGTAAATACGATAAAACGAATTAAAGATATATGAGATAAATACAATCTAAACGATATTTAATTTTTTATATTATTACTTCACGAAATAGACATACTTAATGCTTTGCCTCGAAAAAGGCAGATTCAAAGGTTTCCTTCGATTGTAATCGTATTATTTCAGACTACATATATCTTAATATACAGAATGTTTACTACTAATGGTCAAAATTTTAGGGGCCAACTAGAAAGAACAACTCGGAATTAATACATTAAGCCATTTTATTTATTTATTTATTTATTTATTTACTTATTTATTTATTTATTTATTTATTAAAGAAGATATAGAAAAATTCATTTAAGATGTTGGTAAACGACGTATATACATATTATATTAGAAAGTTCAATCATTAGTCATTTTGCTTAAAAATTAAACACTGAGATTTGAAATTTACTCATTAAGATTATCAAAGTTAAATATAGTTACAGTTTCATTAAAATACATTTTAAACGCAATTCTTTTCTACTAATATATTGAGAAATAAAAAAGAATGGAATAAAATCTTTCGTCATTCTTGAGTTATATCTTATTTTGGCACGTAGAATCGTCTTCCCCTAAAATTTTGCCCGCGATCATTCTATATTTGCAAACGTGTAAATACACACTATTATAAATTAGTCGAATAACGTTAAAATCCTATTGTAATTTGCAATTTAGCCAATTCATGTACCATCTTGGAAATTCTAGTCTGAAAGAAATAGATTACGGTGATTATAGAATTGAAGTGCCAGGGCCAACGATGAAACCAATCAACACTGTCATTATGAATGTCGTTCTTGACAAGTACATATGTCCTTCAAAAGGCAATGGTATACTTTAACATTCATTAAAATCGTTTTAGAAAGATTTGAAGCTTACGAATGGACGAATTCGATGTTTAAAGTACAGTAAGTCCTCGAATTTCACAAGTTTTTGTACATATTCAGTAGAGGTGTACGGAAGAGCCCGGGATTCCCGAAGATATTCGGGAAATAGTTCAGGAGGATTCTCGAAAATTTGAAATAAAACATTTTATACTTGTTATAATTTTTTTCGAGCATTGTAGTGGCTCCAATAAAATATCTCCGAAAATCCCGGGGATTTTTGAGTACCCAAACAGCTTTGATATTGACATATTAAATGAAATTTTCCTTTATTCGACGTTTATTTCCATAACGAAACAATGATTATATGTATACCAAATATATTGTACGTAGAAAGAAAAATGAGTCTTGTAAGGAGTTGTGGATCGTATTCGATCGGACACATTCCCTCGACTCATAGTACCACATTATTCTTAATGTCAGGACCAATCATCGAATTAGGTTTTCTTTTCTCCTTATAACACATTATCTAAGTTGAGGATTTTCTGTAATAGTATTGTCAATATCTTTCATATTTCGTATTTCGTTACATTTTGAAGGATGTTTGATGTAATATATAATATAGTATATTATAGTATTGTATAAAATTTTTACATATTTCAGGTGATTATAACTTATTTAAGCTGGGGTATAAATATAAGTAAGAGGGGTTAAAATAATTATGAAACAAGTATTCCGTTTGCATGCGAGGAGAGAGATACGTTAGAAAATGTTAAAGTTTGGCAGCTTTAAAATTATATGTACATTTAATTGTTTGCTTTTTTGTTAGATTTTTTTACACTTTGTTGCAGTCGATACTTTTTGCAAACTGCACGTAAAATGTAATCGTTTTAAGCATTCGAAAACAATATACTATTTCGATCACTAGAAAAATTTGTTTGTCGATCAAAAATTTCACGCCATATGTATATGCATATACATATAATATAATCATGTTACGATACATTAAATGAATTTTAAATGTAATAGGTGCTGCTTGAACGTATCTTTCACATGGTAGCCATTTTCTAGCTTAAAATACAAAAGCATAAATTTGTTACTTAAATTGAATTAAAATTCAGTATATAGATTGAATGTATACCTTTCTAAACAAATTAAATTGGTGTTTACGTTTACTATATTTAAATACAAATTTTTATAGGTTTCTTGCAATACCTATTATTGTGTGTGCGTGTGTGTATATATGTATATATATGCATGCATATATATTTATTGTATAATTGTGTAATATGTTTATGTATGATATTGATATTGTGCTAAATATATTTGATCTCCAATAATTATGTTGAATAAACGCAGTAAATAGATATAATGCAGAATAAACAATGTTAAATTTAATTGTAACTTAGTTGAAAATAATTTCCAGAAAGGAACAAGTATGTTTGCTTCGACAATCTTTGATCTTCTTCGTGCTTTTGTAGCGAACGAAACCTACGTAGAAACTTCTGAAATGCCTATCATGATTTCGAGGAATACTTCTCTAATTTCATATTTAATCGAACGAATTAAAAAATATGTAGCACACTAGAAAGTTGGACAAATTGTATTCATAAAGAATGGAATATATCAGATTAGTTTCTTGCTTAACTTCTGTTTGTATCTGTTGTTTCTAAACCAATATCTTAGTGAATAAAGTTGCAGGCAAAAAGTTAGTAAATTTAAATGTTTCATTAATTATTCATGAATAAAATTTGTCCGACTCTGACACATCGATTGTATTTAAGAAAACACCATAGAAATCAAATTCACGCTAATCGCCTATCGTTAGAAATTTTTGTATACGTTTATACATTGTTACGATTGAAACAATTTAATGTAAGATTTTTATGTAGCAATATGTTTACATCCTATAAAATCATAACTTCTATTTACCTAACGAAATAAATTTTGCACATACTTGCAGAAAGATAATACGCGACAATAACAGTACTAAGTGAAACGAAAGCAACCTTTCCAATCTTCTACATATTGTTAAATGTATCTTATTATTTTCGCGTCACGATTACTTTCGAATATAATGTAACGTTGAAGTTTTGAATACGGATTGACCATGTTTTTTAAACACATATTCAAGTTATCAATTTATCAGTTTCGTAAACTACTTAAAGTAATATTTAAAATAGTGAGACTATTATTTCAAATAGAATAATCAAACGTGTGCCATTTGCAGTGTCTGTCACTTAAAATCGTACACCTAACGGTTCAGCCGATATTTTTTCAATAAAACATGAAAATTGTACAAAATTGTTGAAACTTGTATAGAGGCATTTAGTGTAACATAACAACAATGCAAAAAAACCTTTAGCAGTACTCAGTAAATTAAATAAAATTTGAGGTTGCGTATGAAATTTCGCTGTCAGTAAAAATCGTATACTGTTGGCAACATTGGAAATCCGGTGAATCCCCAATTGTATTTTGTGTAATAATGTTTAGCAACGATTGAATCTAGCTGATTTAGTAGTATTTTGATTGTTATATGCGTTGTTCTACCAAAAAATAAATATAAAAAAGACCTAAAATGCAACAAACTACAGTAATCGTACACTGTTGGTAACATTGGAAATCCAGTGAATCCCCAATTGCTTTTTGTCTAACAACACTTAGCAACGATTGAATCTAGCTGATTTAGCAGCATTCTGATTGCTATATGCGTTGTTTTGCCAAAAAATCAACAAAAAAAGACTTAAAATGCAACAAACTACAGTAGCAGAGCGTGAATTAGTTATTTATTACACTAAAAACAAAAAAAGTTATAATGAAATTAGTAAAATTATTAATTGAAGTAGAAGCTCAATTCAATGTATACTAAAACGAAAGAAAGAAGAAGACTGTATTGTGAATAAATTAAAAGAGAGGTCTGATACGAAACTGAATATCAGAGATGAACGATGGATTGTTAGAAAAATCAAGGATGATCCGAGGATTAGTGCTCCAAAATTAGCGTCGGTAGTTGAAAAATATTTAAATAAGAAAGTAAGTGACTCAACCATTAGAAGAGTATTAAGACTAAAGAAGTATCGTGGTAGAGTTGTTAGAAAGAAGCCGTTCATAAGTTTGCAAAATAGGAAGAAGAGGTACGAGTTTGCTAAGAAGTATATCAAAGAACAGTTTACTTTTTGGAAAAATGTAATTTTTACTGACGAATTGAAATTTAATACGTTTGGTTCGGATGGAAGAAAAATTGTATGGAGGAAACCAAATACAGCTATGGATATTAAAAATCCCAAAGCAACAGTTAAATTTGGTGATGGGTCTCAAATGGTCTGGAGCTGCATGTCAGGCATCTGGTGTTGGAAATGTGGTATTTATTGATAATATAATGGATAAGTGGTCGTATTTGAGTATATTAAAAAATAATTTAAAAGAGTGCCGAAAAAATGAGAATTTTATACGGTTTTAAATTTTACACTAACAACGATCCGAAGCACAAGTTTTATGTAGCATAAAGTTGGCTCTTGTATAACTGCCCTAAAGTTCTTCAAACGTCCCCATAATCTCCTGATATCAATATCATAAAACATATTTGGAACAAATTGGACAAAAAAGTAAGATTACACAATATTACAAAGGAGAGCCTTAGAAAAGCTTTGCAAGAAGAATAGTCGAAAATAACACCTGAATTTTGTGCGAATTTAGTAAAATCAATTTCTCTACGACTGCAGTGTGTTCAAAATGCATTTAGTTACGCAACTAAATATTAATATAAACAATTTTTATTATATATTATTCTAAAACTGTATCTCATTTCCTCTGTACGATTTTTACTGAGTACTACTAAAAGTTTTTTTATATTGTTGTTATGTATCAAATAAAGAAAGATTACACTATATGGCTCTATACGAGTTTCAATAAATTAGTACAATTTTCATGTGTACGATTTTAAGTGACAGTCATTGTATGTGCATTTCTAAATAAATGGAAGACTATCGAAGTTTGCCTTGTATAAAACAGTTCTTTAGTAGTGCAAATTATTTTACTGGCTCGAAAACAAACGTTTTCATAAATAACATGTACTAAAAATGAATTCGTAATGTTTTAGATCGACAGATGTAAAAATTGTGGATCCTCTTACAGTAATCCCGCGTTACGTGACAAAGAATCAGTTCTACTGGGAAAACCCTAAACTGTTCGACGAAGAAAGCGAAAGGAATACGTCGAGAGAGTGGGAGGAAGAATAATAGCGAGTTAGTAATTCAATTTTGTATACTTTTAATTATATCTTTATGAAAATATTACTAATGAATTTGTGAGATTTTCCCAATAAAAATGAGCCTAAACATTTGAAGGGTTACGTACTTAAATCAGATTTAATTTTATAGATGTTTAAAAACAATCAATAGACTCGTGTTTAGAATCATTTTCGTTGAGAAAATCTCGCTGGATTCATTAGTAATATAATCGTGAAAAAATAATGACAAATATACAAATTTTAATCGTCAAAGTTTGAAAGTAGCTGAGAATAGAGTGAAGAATATAAAAATGTTTAAATAGCATTAACACGTTGACTGCCAGTCTTTAAATCCTAAAATTGTTTACGAGACCAATACTTTGATTTTCGGCAATTGTAAACTACATAACTTAAAAGTTGTCGTAGTAGTTATTTTTGTGACCACATTAAAATTTACGAAGCTTATTAAAATTTATTTTCTGTAACATTTCAACTTGAGAATTAATTGTTTTAGTTCCACTGTTAAAAGTTCTGTCACCCATATGTAGGCGACGTAGCAGTCAAAGTGTTAATAGCTGAAGTTCAGACAGTCGTTTTTGAAATTCATAGTTGGCCTACTCTAGTTACAAAGATAAAAAAATAGTGTTAGAGATTTCGGTTATCAAGAGAGGGATTACTGTATATGCTAAACAAATTTATACTATCTGTAACTTTAAATTTCCAATTTAAAGCATGCAAATTAATTATTAGGCAATAAATAACATAACATGTTTTCACAGTAAAACACCTAAATTACGGGAGTATAACGCATGATATGAAATGAACGAGTACCAATTGTTTCGTTCTTTTCACTTATTGTTGCACATAAAAATATTAACGAGAATATAAATGCTTGGTAAAATATATAGTAAAAAATGTATTTACATTCTATAACTTATATGTATATGGAGAATTTTAAATATTGCTTATAGTTATTAAAATGCATTCCTATTGAATATTGCTGAAATCTTTAACAAAGTATTAATGCAACATACTATTAAGTGGTTATTTTAAAAATCATGTAATAGATAAGGAAATAATTGGAGAAAGCACAACTTTTAAAAATATAGTCTTAGAATTTTACACGTGTATATATAAAAAGTAAAAATTGTATTTTTTTTCTTTTGGATTAACTAAAATTTGTAAATAATTTCACTAGTTTTTCCATTAGTAACAAAAACTATATGTGTATGTTAAACACCTGTATAGATGTATTTAACATTCGTATTTTAATTGCATCGATATATGTATATGTATATTTATGGATTTATCAAATCAATTATTGATTTTAATTACTCTTTACGTTTATTTAGTTTTCGCGCAGCTATAAAATTATTTCCAAAATTGTTTATTGGCTATTTAAATTTCTTTATTCGAACAGTTTTGAACGCAGTACACAAGTTCGCAGTGTGATTTTATATTTTTGATTGTGTAAAAGTATAATTACATCGGTGGAATTTCACAAATAAAGGGCAATGTGCTATCACAAGACAGTACTTTCCAAAATGGACCAGATCTCGATTCAGATGGTCGAAAGAGACCAACGCATCCTTTCCAGTGCGAGGGTTCTCCTTCTGCCCATGCTCTGTATTTAAAACAAGCAAGTGGTTCGCCTAAAAAATGTGTATTACGCGTTAAAATTGTTATTCTCCATTTCGAAATGATTGGGGAAAGCACAATTTGTAAAAATATAGTCTTAGAATTTTACACGTGTGTATATAAAAAGTAAAAATTGTATTCTTTCTTCTGGATTAACTAAAATTTGTAAATAATATCATTAGTTTTTCCATTAGTAACAAAAACTGTACATGTAGTTGTATGCTAAACACCTGTATAGATGTATTTAACATTCGTATTTTTATTACATCGATATACAGTGACTGTTACTTAAAATCGCACACCTAGCGATTCAGCTGATATTTTTTCAATAGAACATGAAAATTGTACAAAATTGTTGAAACTTGTATAGAGGCATTTAGTGTAACATAACAACAATGCAAAAAAACCTTTAGCAGTACTCAGTAAATTAAATAAAATTTGAGGTTGCGTATGAAATTTAGCTGTCAGTAAAAATCGTATACTGTTGGCAACATTGGAAATCCGGTGAATCCCCAATTGTTTTTTGTGTAACAATGTTTAGCAACGATTGAATCTAGCTGATTTAGTAGTATTTTGATTGTTATATGCGTTGTTCTACCAAAAAATAAATATAAAAAAGACCTAAAATGCAACAAACTACAGTAATCGTACACTACACTGTTGGTAACATTGGAAATCCGGTGAATCCCCAATTGTTTTTTGTGTAACAATGTTTAGCAACGATTGAATCTAGTTGATTTAGCAGCGTTCTGACTGTTATATGCGTTGTTTTGCCAAAAAATCAATAAAAAAAGACTTAAAATGTAACAAACTACAATAGCAGAGCGTGAATTAGTTATTTATTACTGTAAAAACAAAAAATGTTATAATGAAATTAGTAAAATTATTAGAGAGGTCTGATACGAAACTGAATATCAGAGATGAACGATGGATTGTTAGAAAAATCAAGGATGATCCGAGGATTAGTGCTCTAAAATTAGCGTCGGTAGTTGAAAAATATTTAAATAAGAAAGTAAGTGACTCAACCATTAGAAGAGTATTAAGACTAAAGAAGTATCGTGGTAGAGTTGCTAGAAAGAAGCCGTTCATAAGTTTGCAAAATAGGAAGAAGAGGTACGAGTTTGCTAAGAAGTATGTCAAAGAACAGTTTACTTTTTGGAAAAATGTAACTTTTACTGACGACTTGAAATTTAATACATTTGGTTCGGATGGAAGAAAAATTGTATGGAGGAAACCAAATACAGTTATGGATATTAAAAATCCCAAAGCAACAGTTAAATTTGGCGATGGATCTCAAATGGTCTGGAGCTGCATGTCAGCATCTGGCGTTGGAAATTTGGTATTTATTGATAATATAACAGATAAGTGGTCGTATTTGAGTATATTAAAAAATAATTTAAAAGAGAGTGCCAAAAAATGGGTATTTTGAACCATTTTAAATTTTACGCCAACGATTCGAAGCAGAATTCTTATGTAGCGAAGAATTGGCTGTTGTATAAATGCCCTAAAGGTCTTTTATTGAAAAAATATCGTCTGAACCGCTGGGTGTACAATTTTACGTGAATCACTGTATGTATATGTATATTTATGGATTTATCAAATCAATTATTGATTTTAATTACCCCTTACGTTTATTTATTTTTCTTGCTGCTATAAAATTATTTCCAAAATTGGGGAAATCACAATTTGTAAAAGTATAGTCTTGGAATGTTATATCCACGTGTATACATACATATACTTAATCCTCGAAAAGTAAGAATTGTATTTTTCCTATTTAAGGAAGTGTTCTTTGGTAGAAATAGCATTTACCAATGAGACAAAGATACGAGTAATTTATAACAAGGAAAATTAATGATCGGTGGAAATAAATTCGGTGTAATGGTCAGAATATAAATTACCAAACTCGTTTTTCCAAATGTTCTCGTGGTCGCGGTTGCTTAGCCCAATGAACGTGGATGTATTTTGCAAAATATATTTTGCAAGTTCGTTTGTACGTTGCTCGCTAATTATATGTGCGATCGAGGCGTTCATTTTTTGGCAAGAAATTTGTGCTTGGCTGTAACTCAAATCGTTGTTCGAAAACAGGAATACTCCTGTCCTAGGGATGCACACCAGTGAAAAATCGCCGCCTAAAAATAATTAATGTTCATAACATATATTTGATGTTTACACTCGTTCTTGAAATTTACCAGTAGAAATATGACTCGAATACATGCTATAGTATTTGTAATTCTTGTCTGGTACGAAGCTGGTGAATTTATGAATCTCCGGGCACTGAAGAGCTTGGCACACAATCCTTCGACCACTTTTATTCTCTGCGTCGACATTCCACTCTATGTTAATAAAATAAAACTTTCAAATAGCTTAGAACAACTCTTTCTTCAGATACTTATGAAGACTTTATTAATTGGTAATCAGTAATTTAATTAAGGGGTCTGATAATTTTAGATTTTAAAAATTTAAAGCACTTTTAGTGTCTTCTTCTCTTTTCAAATATCTTGAAAGTCATTGTCAATGTAAGTAATATTATAAGAAATTATAATAGTAATAAGTATAGTAGTAATAGAACTATAATAGAAATTAAATGTTCATCTCACCACGATGATCAGTTTCTAAACCGTAATTAAATGCCAAAGCTTTCTTGGCCGATGAAAATTGTTTGCATTCGTTGATATTTCGAACAGTTGTCCTCGACAGTATTAATTGGTTCGAACGAACATTGGATCTGATTAGTTTGTAGTCTGGTAATTTACGAGAATTGATCCTACAGCAACGATCACATAAAACGATTGATAATGTTTGCAAATATAAAGACGAAATTATTAAAACTGTGGACACTAGGTTCATTTTTATGTTCACAAAGATCTCGATCGAATATGGAGATCCTTGATGTTTCATAGTTTTTCACGGAAACGTCGTTTCCAATGATGGACAAGGCTAATTAACTCCTCGTCAACGTGACAAATACACAATGCAAACGGGAAATTAAATTTAGTCAGAGTTGGCTGGGATTGAAAAATGAAGTCGTAAAATATATAGATTTATTATTCAAAACAGACAGTAAATTTATGAGCAATGTAACAATAATTGATATTAGCAGGTACTCCCTAGGACAGATTGAATTTCTTTTTTTATTGCTATCGGAAAGTAGGTAGTCGAGACTCGCTAGTCTAATAATAATAAATTAACGGTTTAAATAATTTTCCTAGAAATTTACGAGCCAGGTTTCCCAGGTATCCAATTAGTTTAAAAAAAGTATCAGTCGAAAGTTACAGTAGATTCGCTAGTCTAATTAATAATAAATTAACGCTTTGAGTAATTTTCCTAGTAAAATAACGAGGTAGGTTCTCCAAACATTGAATTAGTTTTGGGTGCAACTGCTCTGCCCCCTAATAACGGAAAAATGGCGTCACAGTCCACCATTAAGCATTTAAACGTAAATTTTCTTTCTATTTCAAATGTATGTACCTACCGTTTTCATTGCACGGTCCTATCATGTGTATACTAATATACACGAAAATCTCTTACCAATTCTTTTATCCAGTATGGCAAAACTAATAAAAATTTGTTCATATGTTCCTTAAACATATTTAGCCGCACATTTAGAAAACCTTCCTCGTCAGAGTATTTGATTAACTAGAAATGGATGACATTGAAATATACATATACTTGACATTCTGAATCTCGACTCGGGAACCACCGAGAAATCATTTATGAATTATTATTAGGCAGTCCTAAACTTAGGCGAGCCTAAGCCAGCAAAGAATCGAGCGCTTTCGTCGCTTCTGCGAACACAGTGTCCACGGTGCCTTCAGCATTTATCTAAACAAAATAATTTACGGTCATTTTAACGAGCAAATCGTCGCCTAAATATGTAACTGGTTTTCCAATGAAAGCGATAGAACTTTGAATAAAAATAAAATATGCACTTTGAATTCTATAAAAGATTACATATCTGGTGGCCGATGCTTTATTTTTATGTACATTCAATGATATTATAAATGACATACTATTTAACTCTTTGGAGCATGCTGGGATTAACACTAGATATACTAGACCAGTCATTTTCACTGGTCCTGCAATTTTAATTCAAAATTCCTACTGCATGTAACATTTTCTTTCCCGAATGATGTCATGACTTTTGTAGCTATAACTAAAGAATCAGTTTTATGAACTGTATATTATTTTATATATATTCGTAACAAATATATTTTTTGTTATTGACACTTATACCAGTACCAGCCAAAATGACTGCTGCATGTTTCCATGCGATGAAATGACATTAGGGCAGCTACAACAATTGATAAGTACTGCAACATTTTTTTGGTACAGAATATACGATTCCAGGAAAATCATGATTCTGATGCAGTACGTGTAGTGGCCTTTGGAATTGTATATTTACTCAGGGTTTTGGGCCACACATAAGGTTCTCCTCGCAAGCAAAATTGAAGGCGTTTATTGCGATATTATATGCACGTGGGGCGTACAAAGGAAACACTTTGAAACTTGAATATTTATGGAATAACAAGTGGGGTAAAAACCAAAGTTTTACGTTACATTCGTTTCGACAAAAGAAATCAGAAGAGTCAACGTTTACAAAGAGACAAATTCGCTTTAGTTTCAACAGTTTGGGATAAATTTATTGAAAATAGCCAAAATTGCTTCAAACCAGGAGCTTATATTACGGAGGATGAGCACCTCTTTTTAACAAAGGCCAGATGCAGGTTCACACAATATATGCCAAACAAGCCTCATAAATTTGGCATGAAATTTTGGCTGGTGTCTGACGTTGAAACTAAATATGTAATAAATAGCTTTCCTTATTTCGGAAAAGATGAGGCTTGAGATTCATCAACTCCACTAAGTGAATATGTTGTACTGAAACTTGTAGAACCATGTACTTCGAAAGGTAGAACCATAACAACGGACAATTTCTTCAACAGTTTGCCTCTGGCGTTGAAATTATTATCTAAAAATACTTCGTTGCTTGGAACAATACGTGCAAACAGGAGAGAAATCCCAAAAATTTGCAAACAGAAGAAAGATAGCATGGTACATTTCTCAACGTTGCTGTACATATCAAATGGATCTATACTTATAGTTTATAAGAGTAAACTGAATAAGAAAGTACTTGTACTAAGTGCAAAGCACAAACATGTAAAAATTGACAAAACTAACAAGAAATTACTAGAAACTGTGTCTTTTTATAATAACACAAAATTTCACTTCAAGTTTTTTTCAATGTTTTAGATTTAGCTGGAATAAATTACTGGATATTGTATAAAAACACGACAGGTAAAAATATATCAAGGAAAGACATTTTGTTCCGATTAACTAAAGAACTTGCTTCTGAATATCAGACTTTAAGGGAAAAACCACAAGAAGCTAATATACCAAGTTCAAGTGGCACCGCTCCTGTACGTAAATGGTGTCAAATAGGATATTGCAATAATAATAAGACCACAACTATTTGCAATATATGCAAAAAAAATGTATGCGGAAAGTACACACAGAGCAAAATCAGCATATGTAAAAATTGTGACCAATGTACTATAAACAATTAAGCGTTTGACTAATTGATAATGTCAATAAATCTATTTATATATTATAATTAATATTATTAATCTTTTTTTATCATTTTTTAAAAGTAAGTAAAGACTGAAAACCCCACTAAGCACTTTTTCTAAAGACCAGTCATTCTGACTGGTTTTGGTAGAAATAGGTATACTTAAATAGTTGGTAAATCTAGTGTTAAAAGTGTCCCAACTTTTTGATGTACCGTAATGCATGTTGGGACATTTTTAGTCCCACCTCGAAATATTGCAATAGCTGCATGCGTATAGGTTTATAATTCGTCTTATTTTCGTAAAGCAGTTGGCATCGTCAACTAATGTTACAAATGTATTCACTTGTGTTGGCAACATTCAACATGCCAATACAGGTTCATCAATTGTTGCAAGCGGAAGGTTTATTGCGACAACTATCACTATTCTTTTTTTATGTTTTTACATTGTGATACCTTCATTAATAAAAATATACTAATTTTGTTTAATTCAAAACGCAATAAAGTTTCTATGCAACTTGGTTTATTTTATTATCTGAAATCCTGTGCCACAAAGAGTTAAATGGCTACCCTTTAAAAATGATAAAATAGTCGTAAATGGTATAGAATTGATAAATCCAATTGTGGTTGGTAGACATTTACTGGTGATCAGTGGGTTTGGACTGAATTTTGTAAATTGTAATTTGTCGTTAGAGCTCAAAGATAGAATAATGTCGTTAAAAAGTGTATTATCGAATCTGTTAAAGAATTTCTATTTGAAATGTCAATTCATTGCAAAGAAAGATTCGAACGATGTTAATTGTTTCAACATTATATTGGAAGAAATATCCCATTTGGAGAACGCAATGGACATTTTGAAAATTATTTCCAAAATAGGTGTGACTGTGTTAGAATATTCTAACAAACGAAGAATACACATTGACTAAAAAACATTAAGTAATTGTTCATTATAGAGTAATTGTAAGCCTTTTGCGTACGTTAAAATCACGATTTCATCAAACTTGCTTTCATCAAAAAACAATTATTATAAATATAATAAAATTTAGAATAATTTTACTTATTATTTCAGAATTTTTTTTTTTTATTTCTTTATTTAAATAATAGACTCTTATTGAAAAGCTCAATACTTACTTTGACAACTTTGTCTTTATAATGTTGAACGATCTCGCCGTTTTTCACATTAAATATTTCGATCCTCTTCTTTATCGTCTCCTCGTTGTCATCGGCTCTTTGTGAAACGGCCGCTCGACCCAGCAGCCTTTTTGTCATTGTTTCGTTGGAGACGTCGAAAAAAATAATCATGTCGACCGTACAAACCTAAATTCGTTAAATGCTTTGAAATTCTCGCCTTCGACTTCTTCTCAACAATAGATTTTATAGTTATTACGATTGTGCTTACGTTCTTTTCAAAAAGAATCCCTTGTTCTAACTCACGAGGGTATCCATCGATTAGAAATCCAGTTTTTGTACTTTCTTCTTTTTTAGCTTTCTCCATTCGTTCTCTTATTAGGTCCAATACGATGTCCTAACGGAAACCACATGATCTTCACACTGAGAAAAGTGTTTTTCCACGTACACTCATACATGGAAATATTTGAGCGCTTATATTTATAACATTCGTTGTTTAATTAGCTAAGAGTTAAAAATGCAAACGTCCTCGAATACTTTCGTGCACGAGTGTACAATCACGAGAATCTTGAAAAATTTCTACAAATGATTAATCATACAACGACGATCTACCTACTACTGTTCTATCAAGTATTTATATATTAGGGGGATTGGAAAGTAATGTCGTTTTTTTACATTAAATTCAAACAGATAAATTTTGAACAAGTTTTTATTTTTAATCAATGATGTAATCACCCTCGTTATCAACAACCTTTTGTCATCTAGTATGCAAATTTTCAATGCCAGATCGATAAAAATCAATTGGTTTTTGAACAAAATATCTAGAGATGGCATTTTGGACATCATCCAAATTATCAAATATTTTGCCACTTAGAAAATGTTGTAGCGATTTGAATAGATGGAAATGCGTCCCATCCCCATTCATTAATTTTTTCCAGAGTTCGTCTCACACACTGAGGTATTGCAATATTGTGTTGCAGAATAATGCCTTTTCTGTTGACAATCGCTGCGCACTTTTCAATTAAAGATTGATTTGCTCGATCCAATTGTTCACAGTAAAGGTCTGCATTCGCAGTTTGTCCAGGTTTCAGCACTTCAAAATGAATGACCACGCTAATACTCTACCAAACACACAAAAGCGTCTTTTTGGAGTGTAAACCTGTCTTAGCTGTACTTCTTGGCAATTCATTTAGAGAGAGCCACTGCCTTTTACATTTTGGATTATCATAGAGGACCCACTTTACATCTCGAGTGATCAAACGATCAAAAAATACTTCTGTATTCTACCGCTAAAGCAATAAGTTGCATGTGGTGAACCAGTTAGCTTTGTTTTCTTCGGACAGATTATGCGGGGCCCAAACACCTGCTCTGCTTACTTTACCAATCCTCTGCAAATGTTCTTGGATGGTCGATCAAGCTTGGTTAAGAGTCTTTGACTGTTCCTTGATTGTTTAACACGGATTTGTTTCCACTTTCGCCATTAACATGTCATTGTCTAAAGTTGCTGTTCTTCCTGATCGATGGGTGTCAAAAAGGTCAAAATTACCGGATTTGAACTTGGAAAGCCACTTTTGACATTTACGAACGTCTAATGCACTTGGATAAACATTGCAAATGTTTTTGGTAGCAACTGTTCCGTTACTATCCTTGTGAAACTCAAAAAGCATACAATGCCGGATATGTACCTCTTCTGGTATTTGGCTCGCCGTTTCATCATAAATTGCAAAAGAAATTTAGGATTTAATTATTTACGAGTAAATAGGTCACTCTAACCTTGCAATGTCATTGACACGACTTTGAAGTACACAATGAACTGATAAATAACAAACAAATATCTACATGCGCAGAAACGACATTACTTTCTGGTCCTTCTAATATTTACAGTGACTGTCACATAAAATCGTACAACTAGCTGTTCATCCGTTATTTTTTCAATAAACCATGAAAATTGTACAAAATTATTGAAGCTCGTATAGAGGTATATAGTGTAATATTTCTTTATTTAATACATAACAACAATACAAAAAAACCTTTACTAGTACTCGATCAATTAAATAAAATTTGAGGTTGTGTATGAAACTTAGCTGTCAGTAAAAATCGTACACTGTTGGTAACATTCGAAATACAGTGAATCCCCAATTGCTTTTTGCCTAACAACGCTTAGCAACGATTGAATCTAGCTAATTTAGCGGCATTCTGATTGCTATATGCGTTGTTTTGCCAAAAAATCAATAAAAAAGACGTAAAATGCCACAAACTACAGTAGCAGAGCGTGAATTAGTTATTTATTACTGTAAAAACAAAAAAAGTTATAATGAAATTAGTAAAATTATTAATCGAAGTAGAAGCACAGTTCAATGTATACTAAAACGAAAGAAAGAAGAAGACTGTATTGTGAATAAGTTAAAAGAGAGGTCTGATAAGAAACTGAATATCAGAGATGAACGATGGATTGTTAGAACAATCAAGGATGATCCGAGGATTAATGCTCCAAAATTAGCGTCGGTAGTTGAAAAATATTTAAATAAGAAAGTAAGTGACTCAACCATTAGAAGAATATTAAGACTAAAGAAGTATCGTGGTAGAGTTGCTCGAAAGAAGCCGTTCATAAGTTTGCAAAATAGGAAGAAGAGGTACGAGTTTGTTAAGAAGTATATCAAAGAACAGTTTACTTTTTGGAAAAATGTAATTTTTACTGACGACTTGAAATTTAATACGTTTGGTTCGGATGGAAGAAAAATTGTATGGAGGAAACCAAATACAGCTATGGATATTAAAAATCTCAGAGCAACAGTTAAATTTGGAGATGGATCTCAAATGGTCTGGAACTGCATGTCAGCATCTGGCGTTGGAAAGCTGGTATTTATTGATAATATAATGAATAAGTGGTCGTATTTGAGTATATTAAAAAATAATTTAAAGAAAGTGCCAAAAAATGGGTATTTTAAACGATTTTAAATTTTATGCCAACGGTTCGAAGCAGAATTTTTATGTAGCAAAGAATTGGCTGTTGTATAAATGCCCTAAAGGTCTTGAAGCGCCCCCACAGTCTCCTGATATTAATGCCATAGAACATATTTGGAAAGAATTGGACAAAAAAATAGGATTACACAATATTACAAACAAGGAAAGCCTTAGAAAAGTTTTGCAAGAAGAATGGTCGAAAATAACACCTGAATTTTGTGCAAATTTAGTAAAATCAATTCCTTGACAATTGCAGTGTGTTCAAAATGCATTTGGTTACCCAAGCAAATATTAATATAAACAATTTTTATTATATATTTTTCTCAAGCTGTATCTTATTTCTTCTCTACGATTGGTACTGACAGCTAAGTTTCATAAGCAACTTCAAATTTTATTTAATTTACTGAGTACTACTAAAAGTTTGTTTATATTGTTACTATGTTTTAAATAAAGAAACATTACACTATATGCCTCTATACGAGTTTCAATAATTTAATACAATTTTCATGTTTTACTGAAAAAATATTGGCTGACTCACCAGGTGTACAATTTTAAGCGATAGTCACTGTATACAAGGTGTTTGGTCACCCTTGGGAAAAATATTAATGGGAAATTCTAGAGGCCAAAATAAGACGAAAATCAAGAATACCAATTTGTTGATGGAGGCTTCATTAAAAAGTTATTAACAATTAAATTCAAAAATTTCAAATCGTTCTAAAAAAATTATTTTCGGTTGCGGAGGCCAATTGCAATCATTTTTGGTCATTACACATACCCCCGAAATCCCACGCACCTTCGAGAAAAAAATTCCTTACCGAAAATCTAATTAGGTACCTAAATTTTTCGAGAAAATAAAAGAAATTTCAAATCGTTCTGGAAAAATTATTTTCGGTTGCGGGGGTTAATTACAGTCATTTTTGGTGAATAGACACACCCCCGAAATCCTACCCACTTTCTAGAAAAAAATTAGAGGTGTGAAATTTTTCAACGGAAAAAAAAAATTTCAAATCGTTTTGGAAAAATTACTTTCGGTTGTGGGGGTCAATTACAATCATTTTTGGTGAATAGACATATACCCGAAATCTTGCGCATTTTCGAGAAAAAAATTCAGTATGGGCGGAACTTTAAACGTTAATAACTTTTTAACGAAGTTTCCATCAACAAATTGGTATTCTTGATTTTCGTCTTGTTTTGGCCTCTAGAATCCCCCACTAAAATTTTTCCCAGGGGTGGCCGAACACCTTGTATATGTTAATATATGTATAAAAGTATTTTCCACGTGTATTATTTACCGTGGGGACGAACAGGCCCTTGGACATCAGTTCTTGAAGAGAGGCTCCTCTAGGACTGCCGCTAGCGACCTCTTCCCTCAAGAGATCGCCGCTGCTTATGTGGCAAAATCCATATTTCGCGATAATACGCTCGCATTGAGTTCCTTTGCCGCATCCTGGCCCACCGATTATCCACACAGTCTTCATCTTTCCACAATTTCGTTCCTTCGCGATATTCGTCTCGCGTTCACCTTCTAATTCTATCTCACAGAAACTCTTTAACGCCGATTGCTCCTCTCCCTATTAACAATGCGTTACTCTTATTCTATTTATTAACGTTCCGTAAATAAATTAACTGCAAGCTACAGTTACTTGCGTAGATAATTGAACGTGAGATAATTCATTTTTCTATACTCGCCGATAGTATCGAAAGTATAAATAATGTAACTCATTAAATACCGTTTATTGCATTGGTGGTCACTGATAACCGGCTTTCGTATCTTTAAAACGCTTCCAATGAATAAACCTTGATACTCGTCAATTTTCAAATAATACCATTTATATTAGAAATATTAAAAATTAACAAAAACATGTGGAACGTGTCAAAGAATTTTACGGATCAATGTATTTTTTTTTATTGCCACTTTCAATTAACAATGTATGTTCTCATAGTCAAAAGATGATTACCAAACAAAGACCGTGCTTTTGTTTTTTCATCGCCACTTGCTCTTCGATTTACGAATTTTGCCATCGCTATTGTCGCGAATAATTCACGTCAATCTGTAAAATCTTTAAGCCATGCGCAGTATGTACTTCGAAAAATTGAAATTTTACTTACGACAAGTTTTTACTTCCGAGTCGTAAATGAAAGATTAAGAAGTATTGGAATAAATGTACTTGTATCTCAACATTCGCGATAAGTGGGCTTAAAAATTACCGTGGACTTGCTATTCGAGATGCAACGGACCAGAGATTTCACTATTAACTGTTGAGAGGGATAGTCGAAGCTTTCGAGTTAAAATTTCGAACATATCGATTTATCATTGGCTGTTCGTCATCGGGTGGGAGTGATTTTCACGCATGTGCGACGATTTAAGGTCAACATCTTGCGCGGAGATAGATAATTGCATATGTACACATGTATCCTAGACACCTTGAACTTTTTAACACGTTTTCCATATCTAAACATGCCCCAATTTGTTCGAATTATAGTATAAAACGTAGAAATATTCGCCAATTTAATGGCATAATTTGATACCATTTACAATTTAACTAGCATTATTTACAATTTTACGTGTATTAACTATCTTTCATTTTAAACCTTTTGTAAGTTTAAAACGTCGATCACCGGTGACCACCATGGCAATCAACATGTTAACATCCCCAAATTAAAAGTCTCGAAACACTTTAACGAATTAAAAACTCGTAACTTCGAAGGCGACGAGCTTTATGTTATTTTTGACATCGAGGTGCCGATTCTTTAAATTTAGAATTTGCTTCCTGTTACCTCGACAATACGATCCTTTTCCAACGCGTGTGCAAATGAACAATATCGATGAAATACACTTAAGATTACGAGTGTGGTGTAACAGAAAGTATACACTTCCTTGAACTGTGTGCCCGAACGTGTGTGTACGTCGCTCAAAAGCTGTATCGCGACTAAAGTAAAATCCAGAAGATAGGATGTAGATAGTCGTATGACATTAAACGTGTGCGTATATATACATATACTGTTTAAGACTGTACAATTGCAAAGTTTAAAAATAAATATGCGGCGAATGTCAAATTCTAGTGTCTATTCGCGTAATCAGGTCATGAATCATGCCACTCCATCGCGATACCAACACTCTGCATCCTCCGGGATCTTGAATCCTAATGGATGAAAAATTCTCATTTTTGTTTAAACGAACGCCATCTATCGTTCATTCGGATAAACACGACGATATAATAATAGTACACAGGGCCGTTCCTGGCGGGGCACGAAAGGCCTTCTCCAGATCGTTTATTAAATGCAAAATTTGGACTAACAAAAATAATGATCAAAAGCTTTTTACAATTACTAACCTTTCAAACGAATAGAATTCAATCAAATTAATTTTACATGTAATTTTTTTAACGCTACCCATGTATAAAACTAAACTAATTTATTGGCTACAAATATCCTTGCTCGTAAAAATTAACAGAGATACAAACGCTCGACAAATTTGAATTCTAATTTCTGATTGGTTGTTCGTTTCCAACAAACCAGTTTTCATTGAATGTGAACGACACTTGGTACTTGACGCTTGTGCCTTAATATCCTCCTGATTCTAACAGAATCGTCTCGAATGCTATATATTTACAGGTTAGCGAAATAAGTACGCTCGTGCACAGTAGTGAAATTAAGAAAAGCCGGCTAATCGTAAATAAGTTATAAAAATGGTAAGTTGTAAATACGAAAACCGTATAAACGATAAAATATCTGTACTTTTCCTTCACTGATGTGAAACCAATTTCATTATAAACCACCTTCTAACTTAATAGAAATAATATATTTCATGTTAACAAATAATTTTCTTTCTCACTGTTGGATAGAAATATTCGAGTATTTTTTATATTTTCAAGCCAAAAATGAATCTGTACGCGTAAAAGTGATAGTCATATTATAGGTTGGGGTTCTCTAACCTTATATGGAGATTAATTTCGATTTGCATGTGGGAGGAATTTCAATAATGGAACACGTAATTTGTTCCCTTGGATTTCCCGTAAACTAATTATAAACACACTGATCGTGCTTCTGTTTAGAATTTTACGTAGCAACCGAACGATGGAAAAGAATAGAAATTCATTCTTTATTCATTTGTCTTACAAAGTCTAACAAACTTCACAAGAAACGATCGAAATTTACGAGCAAAAATGGGAAGATATATGAGAGTATATTATTATCATTAATCATCACCATCGTCATCGTTCTTGGCTTTAAATATAGAAGATCATTCGAACATGTTTTTTACAGCAACCTCAAATAATTTTACTCAAAGAGGGCACCTGTGCCACTCAAGGGAAACAACAACTGATATCGAATATAAATGCGTGTCAAATGGTGGTGGATGCGGTGAGGACCACGCTAGGTCCTCGGGGAATGGACAAACTGATCGTAGACCAAAATGGAAAGGCCACAATCTCAAATGATGGAGCGACCATTTTAAAAATCTTGGAAATTGTTCATCCAGCGGCTAGAACTTTGGTAGATATTGCCAAGTCCCAAGATGCAGAGGTAAGTTATATTTTATAGATACTATATTAACTCTGCGACGAAATAAATTGGTCATGTGACAATTAATACATCGCCAGTCTACTTGTAGAGAACATTATGATTGAGAACTTACAGACTGGTAACATGTAAAAGTTACATATAGTTACTTCAATAGAGTTCGTACAGTTTACTAAATATTTGATCTTACCATTTAAGTATGTAACGTGACCCTTTCAGACACTTTTATCTTATTAATTAACAAAATTTTGCACTATTGCATATGCTTTTCGGAAACATTGATAGATTAGCGTTAATTTCATCATACGAAACATACAAATCCATTAACTGACCTCAATGAACTTTACATACTACTGATTTTCATGTACCGTTTAGTTGTCTATACAAAGTTACAATTTTTAAATATATTATTATATTAGGGGGACCGGAACGTAATGTCGTTTCTTAGCATGTAGATATTTGTATGTCATTTATCAGCTCATTGTGTACTTCAAAGTCGTGTCAATGACATTGCAAGGTTAGAGTGACCTATTTACTCGTAAATAATTAAATCCTAAATTTCTTTTGCAATTTATGATGAAACGGCGAGCCAAATACCAGAAGAGGTACATATCCGGCATTGTATGCTTTTTGAGTTTCACAAGGGTAGTAACGGAACAGTTGCTACCAAAAACATTTGCAATGTTTATCCAAGTGCATTAGACATTCATAAATGTCAAAAGTGGCTTTCCAAGTTCAAATCCGGTAATTTTGACCTTTTTGACACCCATCGATCAGGAAGAACAGCAACTTTAGACAATGACATGTTAATGACGAAAGTGGAAACAAATCCGTGTTAAACAATCAAGGAACAGTCAAAGACTCTTAACCAAGCTTGATCGACCATCCAAGAACATTTGCAGAGGATTGGTAAAGTAAGCAGAGCAGATGTTTGGGCCCCGCATAATCTGTCCGAAGAAGACAAAGCTAACTGGTTCACCACATGCAACTTATTGCTTCAGCGGCACAATACAGAAGTATTTTTTGATCGTTTGATCACTCGAGATGTAACATGGGTCCTCTATGATAATCCAAAATGTAAAATGCAGTGGCCTCTCTAAATGAATTGCCAAGAAGTACAGCTAAGACAGGTTTACACTCCAAAAAGACGCTTTTGTGTGTTTGGTAGAGTATTAGCATGGTCATTCATTTTGAAGTGCTGAAACCTGGACAAACTGCGAATGCAGACCTTTACTGTGAACAATTGGATCGAGCAAATCAATCTTTAATTGAAAAGTGCGCAGCGATTGTCAACAGAAAAGGCATTATTCTGCAACACAATAATGCAATACCTCAGTGTATGAGACGAACCCTGGAAAAAATTAATGAATGGGGATGGGACGCATTTCCATCTATTCAAATCGCTACAACATTTTCTAAGTGGCAAAATATTTGGTAATTTGGATGATGTCCAAAATGCCATCTCTAGATATTTTGCTCAAAAACCAATTGATTTTTATCGATCTGGTATTGAAAATTTGCACACTAGATGGCAAAAGGTTGTTGATAACGAGGGTTACATCATTGATTAAAAATAAAAACTTGTTCAAAATTTATCTGTTTGAATTTAATGTAAAAAAACGACATTACTTTCCGGCCCCCCTAATATTTACAATTTATAGTATGTTCAGTTTTACTCGTCACTATATATCTCTAGCTATTTTAATTTTTGAACGTTACAGGTTGGTGATGGTACCACGAGCGTAGTTTTACTGGCTGGAGAGTTTTTAATGCAAATGAAGCCATTCATCGAAGAGGGCGTACATCCACGAATCATGATCAAAGCTCTTCGTCTCGCGCTGAAAGTAGCAGTCGATAGAATAAACGCGTCCAGCTTAAAGATCGACAAAAACTGCAAAACAGAAGTTATGGAACTTCTACAGGCGTGTGCGGCAACATCTATGAGCTCGAAGTTGATTCATCAACAAAAAAAGTTCTTTAGCTCTTTGGTCGTGAGAGCCATTTTGATGCTTGACGATATGTTGCCCCTTAACATGATCAGTATTAAAAAGGTACCTGAATTTGAAAGAAATATGTTAACCGTTGAAAAATAGATTGTTTTAACTCTTTGATGCGTAGGTGGCCGGCGGAGCGTTGGAAAATTCAGAATTGGTCGAAGGAGTGGCGTTTAAGAAGACCTTCTCTTACGCTGGATTCGAGATGCAACCGAAAATATATCAGAATTGTTACATCGCTTTGTTAAACATAGAGTTGGAGCTTAAAGCGGAAAGGGACAATGCGGAAATACGCGTGGACAATGTTGCCGAATATCAGAAGGTAGTCGACGCCGAGTGGAAAATTTTGTACGATAAGCTCGAAAAGATTTACAACAGCGGAGCGCAAGTTTTATTGTCGAAGTTACCCATTGGCGACGTTGCCACGCAATATTTTGCGGATCGAGACATGTTCTGCGCGGGCAGAGTTCCCGAGGAGGATTTGAAACGAACGTTGAAAGCTTGCGGCGGTTGTATTTTGACCACCGTGCACGATATTAAAGAGTCCGATCTCGGCATGTGCGAGATGTTCGAGGAAAAGCAAATTGGTGGAGAAAGGTATTTTAATATGTTGTTATATTGGAATGCAATGTCGGTACCATTGTTGTTATATTGGAATGCAATGTTGGTACCATTGTTGTTATATTGGAATGCAATGTTGGTACCACTTGTAAGAGTGTCAATTTTGGCAGCACTGTGACAAACTGTATACATTTAAAAAGTACGTTGTGATAAATTGATAACCAAAAAATGTGAAATACCGAGTGCGTATTCTAAACTAACAAAATAGAATTAATTAATCGATATTTAAAGTACAGTGCCGTAAAAGAACATAAACTTAATATTAATTTCAATTACTATTAATTTAGTATTTGAACTCTCGTTTATTTTGCTACATCGAGGTACTTTTTCCTAGATTTAACTTCTTTTATAACGGATCGCACGCCAAAACGTGCACATTCATATTGCGCGGAGGAGCTGATCAGTTTTTGGAAGAAACCGAAAGATCTTTGCACGATGCCATCATGGTTGTCAGGCGTATGTTCAAAACCAATGCCTGCGTGGCTGGCGGTGGGGCTATCGAAATGGAACTGTCTAAAACTTTACGTGATTACTCTCGCGTTATAGCTGGAAAGGAACAACTTTTAATCGGAGCGATAGCCCGTGCGCTGGAAGTTATACCAAGGTATGCGTCTCTGTCTTTTAATGTTTACTCGATCAACATAATTTTATAAATTTCAGACAATTGTGCGATAACGCTGGCTTCGACGCAACAAATATTTTAAACAAGTTGCGACAAAAACAGCACAAAGGTATGCACACGTACGGTGTTGACATTAACACTGAGGACATCCACGATAATATGGCAGCTTTCGTGTGGGAGCCAGCTGTTGTGAAAATAAACGCACTGACTGCTGCAACCGAGGCAGCGTGTCTTATATTATCTGTAGATGAAACTATAAAAAATCCTAAGAGCTGTCAGCATGAACCAATGGCGGGTCGTGGTATGGGAAGACCAATGTAAAAAAAAGTTTTTAAAATGAATGATAAGCTTATAAACTAAATATTAATAATACACCAAATGTATTGCAACAATCCGTTTATACTGTTATGAATTATTATATCTAATACAACTTTTGCATACTTATTTTTCTTATGTTATAATATACGATAAAATAGATTTTGCAGTATTCAACAATTATTTTATTATCTTTGTCGTCAGAGCTACGAACAATTAATTGTACTTAAAAAGTACAATTTAATGGTACGTTATACGAACTTTTGCATTCACAATGTTATAAAAATATTGATTGTACGATTTTATTTTAAACTGAAAAATTAAATTAATTTTATATACTTTGATAAGTCTTCATAGTATATTAATATTAACATTAATATACAGCAGCGATTATTGTTTATTTATTATTAAACTTTAGTACATTATACAAATTTTCAAACGCCACGTAATTTATTCTACTGAATCAACGTTTATTAGATAATTAATGTGAGTAAATCCATACGTACCACAATTTTATTCACGCATCGAGAGAGTTGGGAGAGACGATAAATGTGAGCCTTTTTTCCTCGCTCTTGAAACAACTGAAATTGAGTTTCGACTGCCCAGGCATTTCTACTTTCCGACCTATGGAGGTACACTGGGTACACATAAGCCAGTTATCTCCAAAGACCCCCCATATCACGTTTTGACTATTGTAAATTACTACATTAATACAACATAAATGATTCATTATTTAGGAAGATCACATTCCTTTCAGACAATTGTTATCTGAGACTACAAAACGATTAAAGTAATTGTATCGAAAAAGCAAGATGTTATTATGGGACACATGAAGTGGCCCATCAAATTCAGGTAAGATTTTTAATGCATTTACAAATCCCAAAAAACGGTTACACACAGCAAGCTTAATTCATGTAGCAGCAAAGGAAACTGTAACCTTGGTTGAAAGTCAACATTAATAGAATTTTTTATTAATATTTAGATTTAGAAGTGGGTATATTTTATTATAAAATAAATACATATTTAAGACATGAAATAAAGTATTTCTCCTCTTCCTCCTAACTTTCCCTGCATATTGCAAACCAGCTCCTCCATCCACCTTTTCTTTCTTTACAAATCCCTCCCTATCTTGTCAAAAAAAAATCCTTCATTATCCTATATACCCTGGTCCTATTCATTGCAGATAGTTATGTCCTTTTATTTCTACTATTCATTGTCTCCGCATTGTCAATTTTCAGATCATCTATGATCGTGTTCGCTACACTCCTTGCATTCCATAACTCAATCCTCAACCCTCGCATTCGTCCACTCGGTTCTCCTCTTGCTTCCAAACCCTTCAGCATTTTCTTTTCCTTCTCTTTTTTCTTCGTTTTCCTCTTTCCCTACTATCTACTCGACCCTTGACCTCTACTCCCGCTGCTACGCCTACCACTACTCTTCTTTACTGCTTCCTAATGATTCTCTTCCCACCAGTCCGTCTCCGACTCCGGAGATTTAAATGACTCCGAGTCCTCGTCCAACTTCCTTTTCTTTCTCCAGCCTCGACGTAATTCCTATGGCGGCTCCCGCTCCTCATCGCCTTTCACCTCCACTCCACTGCTCTCCACAATTTGCTCCTCCATCGCCACCTCCACCTTCTCGTCCTTCCGTACCTTCCTCTCCTCTCTCTCTCTTTCCCTCCTCCAACTTATTCCCCTTTTCCTCCCTTCATTTCCTCTTCAATCCTTCACCCCTTTCCCCTAACCACCTCCACCGACCTAACCCTCGGTAGCCCCCTACTCTTCCCTTACTTCCTATTCCTTTCCGACATCCTCTCCCCCGTCCCATCCTCTGATTTCCTCCCCCTCCCTCCTGGCTTCACGTTCCATTTTCCCCTTCTGCCTTCCTCCCTCGCCCACATACCTCTGCCCTTCCCGACTCCAACTCCTGTCCCCCCTCAGCTTGCTCTCGCACTCCTCTTCCAACCCCCTTTTCCTAATCACCTCCAACATTTCCTCCAACAACTTTTTGTCCACCACCCTTCTGTCAAAAAACCTAATTTTCTCCTCCTCTCTCCTTCCCTCTTCCTGCGCCCCATCCCCACTCTTTTCCTCTTCCTTCCTTTTCCTGGTTATTATTGTTCCTATCCTCCCTTCTTTCACATGCTTCTCCCTCTTCTTCTGCCCCCCCCCCTTCCGCCACTTCCACGCCTTCTTACCTTTTTCTTTCAAATATCCGAACCTGCTTCCACTCTGCCACCTACTATACAGCGATGACTTGATGGCTAGGCACGCCGATTGGCCGTAGCTTAATAGCGACGCCTGCTCTCACACACATTGTCGTTATTGGCTGAGTCGCTCACAACTACAATTCCATCGCGTGACAAAGGACGCGAACGAAATGTATAGAGACAGAGTAGGATAGGACAAAACTGAGAGGCATTGGCGTAACCGTACGCTCAAAATACTAGCCATGAATAGAACAAAAGTGTATCTCTTGTGGTTATGGAGACCCTACTACTATGTAGCGTGACGTCAGAGCGGGCCTCTATGGTGGGAATAAGGCGGCGCGTAGCCCTTCTTGCCCTTATCCCGTTTAGTTTGTTGGTGTCTAGCCAACAAATCATCTCTGGATAATACTCACCTCTCCTCTCTTCTGCTGTTCGTCCTCTCTCTTACTCTTCTCTCCCCCTTCTCTGTTTTCCTCCTCTCCTCTCTTTCGGTCCAGACATTTTTCATGTTCGGGATTTCTCTATTATTATCTTACTCCTCCTCTTTATCTTTGGGAATTCTTTCTCTAACCAGCTCTCTTCCTGAACCTCTTCGTCCTCCTCATCCTCCCCATATCTACTCCCTTTTACCTCCAACCCTACTTCCATCCTCACCATCTTCCTGGCCTCTTCGAAACTTTTGTTCTTGTATGCCATTATTTTATTGGTGGCCAGCGCTACTTGTGCCACCGTGCACCTTCTGCTTAACGCCCCATGATCTCCCCCGCAATTTAAGCACCTAGGCACAGCGGCACAGCCGACTCTAGTAAGTACTAGCCGTGCTATGAAACGTGGCAACACCGCTCATGTGCGGATCGGGAGTCCTATTTTCAATAGTGGAGTTTTGTGTTCAGGATTATAATTAACGTTATTTTGCGATATAAAATTATACTAATATACAGTATTTTTTATGAATTATGTATAAGGAATATATGAATATCATAACTATAGTAAGTAGAAGTAATACAGAAGTATATTAATATTTATAAATGTGGTATATATTTTGTGGACTGTCGGAATAGTTTGGTGTTGTGATGCATTATATTTGAAATATTTACAAAGATTTCAAGAAAATGGAAGTGTGAAACAAGTTAAAACCATCTTTGAACCAAACTGAAGGATTTAAAAATTGATAAAGGTATGTATAAGTTAATAGAGACCTGAAATAGGCAAAATTATTGGTACGAAGCCAAACAGGTTAAGTGCCCGTGGAAAAGAGGTTAGCATAATTAGCTATTGAAAGGAACAATTATGGAGTTAATTATAAAATCGTGTTAGAGGACAGTATGATAATTGTGAAAAATTTCCTCACCACCCTAGAGGTATTTTCCATGGCGTGTTACCTTTTTTTTTATTATAATGGATGGTTCGCCAATAGCCATATCATCCCATTTTCTAAAATAAAATTAATATTTTTAAATAGAACATAACAAAAACATAACTTTTGTATTCTTAAAGAAATAAAGTATTACATTTTGAAATAATAATAAATAATTTTGAATAATATTAATAACAAAACATATCAAAACATACTTTGAAATTCTCTTGAAATACAACTAATAAAACTTTGAATCTTGTGAAATAGTATTCATAATAAAAATATACTAAGCAAGTAAATAAAACTCTATTAATGTATTAAAACATATTGAAAGGAATAAGTTTCTTTATTTTTAATAGGAAAATCTAGTTCCTATTAAAAGTTTTTAATTTACGATTTTTAGAAATGATGTCTGAACGTGTTTCCAACTGACTATTATTTACAGTTTTCACATAATTGTTTAATAAAATATTTGAAAAAATTGATAATAATTTAAACCAAATACTTTGGTAAGCTCGACCACAAACGCATGTATCTGAAAATGCTAAATAATGTATGTCTGATTGAATGCTAATATATGTTAATTTACATAAAATATGTTTATGATTTCCAGATTGCAAAAATTGAGATTCTAAATTGCCATCATTTATTATGGCTTCCATTATTGCATACATATGAATAAATGAGGCTATCGCTTCTTCAGTGGGGACAGAAAGGCCCCCTCTTTGTAAGTGATCAAAATATACATCGCTTACAGTTTTACCTTTATCCTCCACAACTAATAAACGACATATATTGTAATTTAATTTTTTAGCAACAGAATGGGACCCATAACCAGAAATATAAATTTTAATGGAATCATCTACAACACAATCGGACAAGTATTCGGTATCGAAGATTCCTGAGAAACAAGTCACATCAGTAGGAAGATCATGAAGATCGTTATTATTGTCATCACAAATTCGAAATTTATTTTTGATTTCAGTAAGAGAAAACGAATTTGCCGATTTTGTAAATATCTAAATAAAAGTCTATAATTTCCAAATCGTTTTTCTAATTTTTCGGTTGTAAAATGGAGGGTACTACATTCCTTATAAGCCTTGGACATCTCAACAAAACATTCTCCAGTACACCATTGGGCGATAGAATACCGTGGTACCTTTCAATATCAGTTTCTGCAAAATGCAAACTACAGACGGCAGAATATTTTGATGGTGTCCAATTCTTACGAGGAATAGCAACCCTCCATTTCTCCCGCAATTCCTCATCTTTGGGGAATAAAAATATAGAATTGTAATTATTATCTTTTAAGGTACTGTCATAATTTCCCTTGCATTTGGGAACACAGCAACGCCGTGGCATTATTAATGAATATGTGAAATTTATAAAAAAAGTGTATATAAAACAAAATGTCCAAAAATGCTATAGATTATATTAAATAAGTGTGCTACACACCAAAATCAGGATCTGTAGAGTTAATATAAATAAATGAAACACCTGGATTATTGCTCCGTTGCTCACATTTAATAGACTTCGGTACATTAATATTTGAAACATTTGAAAGATAGGCGGGAGACCGGAAGGCCGGTAGATGGAGCCTATGTAGCCCAGAGGCCGGTGGGTAGTGGGAGGCTGGGAGGCTGTTACGGTAGGTTGGGCTAGGTATATCGAAGCCGGACTCCCGCGGTGTTGCTATTTTTTTATAGCACGGATAGTACTAGAGTCGGCTGTGACCTAGGCTTTCTTCTGCATTTCCCGTGGAACGCTTCTCCACTGTTAAAGCATTTCTTTCCTCCCCCATAGTTATTCGACCAAAACGTGATCAGGGGGTCTTAAAACTTGTATTTCTGTAAACAAAATTCTTCATCATTTCATTTCCATTATGGTAATTGGCTTACGTGTACCTCCATAGGTCGAAAAGTAGAAATGCCTTGGCAGGAGTGATGGACACTCGTAGGAATTTTCCCTCGTGGGATTCCTTTCTGCGCATGCGTACGCCACATCCCAGCTACCTGTTGTCCACTACCATAGATGTATCTTTAACGTAAAAAGAGGTGCATGTTGGGAATTCCCATGTTTTGTACAAAATTGAACTTTCTACTTCAAATACTCGCCAATCACACAAAAATTAACTTATCGAAAATCCCCTACGTTTTTCTCCAGCTATACTCATGTAGATTAAGAGGAAATTTTTTGTTTTTGTCTCTTTCCCTGTAACTTCCTTAAATTTTGTTCCTTACTGGGATCCAACGGTACCCTAAATTCTAGTTAAGTGTATATGGCAGTGATCATGCGCTCCAGTGCGCATGACCAAAATTCCCACGAATGTCCATCACTGCCTTTGTCGATTCACGTTTGTCTTCTCTCTTGACTCGCCCGAAATAGTCCGAAGTGCATCTGCGCTCACTTCGGGCAACTTCGGAGAATCGAGAAAGAGAGTGAGTGTCAGTTTATCTTTCTCGACTCTCCGAAATTTTATGACGTCACACACTGCCCGGTGCACCGAGAGCTCCGTCTGGCATCACTGGGTTCAACCAGTGCCCGGTTTGATAACATTTCTCGGGTGCCAATTTATGTCAAGTTAGATACGTCTTGCTACTTCGTCTATGTTCAAAATAAACCGTGTAAATTGTACACGATGTATGTAAATAAAATGTGACACGATCTTCGATTAAAAGCATTATATCTATATCGCGAGAAACGTAACAAATGCTCGGAATACGGAAACGTAGCCTCCAAAAAGTATTAGAAACGAGAAGTTCGTGGCAGGGAGAAATTATTTCGAACCATTAGACCGCTCCCGGCAAATATGAAAACCGAAATCTCTTGGAAACGTCGTTTTCTTCGGAAAAAGTTCAAGTACACGTTGATCTGTGTTTTTATAGTCGCTGTAATTTTTGTTGTTCACCAGTTATTTTATTTCAAGCAACTTAACCAAGCAATCGTAGGGAAATTAATTAGTGGCTCGGTGCGAACATCCAATTACATCGTTACTGGCAAAGTGGGTTCAAAGTGGAACGAACCGTTGCATTCCAAACACCTACGCGACAAGGATGGTCGAATCGTATCGTTGCGTGGAACGCGCGATCAGGATATTACCAAGTATCTGCCAAACGCGCGTGGAAATTTTGTTTGCTTCGCTTCAAAGGCGGAGATAGACTTTGTTAAAATTAATGACAATTATTGTGATTGTACCGTGGATGGCAGTGATGAGCCTGGCACCAATGCATGCAACAACGGTATTTTTAATTGTGAAATCTCATCGTCACAATTTACAGGTACTTAATCACCGGTTTTTCATTGTACGTTTGTTTCGATGATGTCAACTATATCGATGAAATTTTAGTGAAAATACCATCTCACAAAGTTAACGATGGATTCTGTGACTGTTGCGACGGATCCGACGAGTGGGCGGAAGTAAAATTGTCTCACTTAAACAATGGTAAGTAATAGTATACACTTTTTCAAATGATTCGTATTAATTTCAAACAACTTTTTTTAGAATCAGGGAACATAATTTACTACCATACCAAGTGTCAAAATAAGTGCTAGTACAATATATTTTAAACGTATCGAATATCCAATATAAAGTATTTATTTCATACGAATGTCTCTGTTTTCTATAAATCGTACTATAAAAATAATGTTACGTTGTATATAAAGTTTTATAATATATGAATAATGTTTTAAATTGAAATTCCTAAGCGTAATTCAATAAATGTTACTTATTTTGTAAAGAAGTTATTGCAACAAGCTATGTAGAAATGCTGCGTAACCGACATATCATACGTATGTTATAAAATGTATTTACAGACCACATTTTTCATGTAACGTGTTAATTTGTTACGTGAAATTAATATTTTTACATTAAGGTATAATATTATGAAACGGAATTAAAATAAACAAGAACTTGAAAGTAATGTAAAAAATTATATATACCACAATAATATTTTAAATATTTGATATATCTATATATTTTAATTACCTTTCTAATACAATTGCTTAGTATTTATTAGAATCGAGTGTCATGATATTATTGCGTGTGATTTCTATTAGAAATTGGTTATTAAATAAAGTACTCAGATTTCCTTTAGACCAGTAAATCCGATTAATTTTGTACTTGGTTTTTAGTAGAAAACCTAACGATTTCCAATGACCTTGAGGATATTAAAATGCATCGTTAAACTTCTCGGCAAATCAGCAAAATGCAAAATTCGTTCTACAGGTATTCCCATATTTTGTAAAATACTGCAAAATCGATTTTCGTCTTTACGGATCCATGGGCGATGCGAATCTTTAACTTGATATGGTGTAACGTCTACATGAACATCTATTTCTGCAATAATACATTAACATTAACACATAAGGTTGCTAGAAAATTGTGAAAAAATTGTTAATTTCATTACTTAATTTCGCAAAAGATTCCAATATTGATTTTTCTGTGATCCATGTATCCTTAGAACCTGCATGGCCACCATCTAACCACCACATACTTTCGACAAGTTTTATAAAGTTATTAATCTCTATATCAGGCTCTGATTTATTTTGGTAATAATGAAACTCGTGAAGTAATTGGTTCAATACAACGCATCCTTTACTGAAACCCATTAACGATAATCTTATTTTCTCCATATTAAACTGAGCAGAGTTCTGGGAATCAAAATAGATTTGTTATAGTTAAAAATCATGATTCACAGTTTCAAACAGTGTAATTTGTGTACAACAAATATTATTGTACCTCGTCTATGTTGCTCGTTTTAAAATGTTCTAAGGAAGATTTTATTAATTCTTGTAGATGCTTTAAAGCATTATGTACCACAGTAAAAGATGGTATGCCATACTCATCCGATGGTACAAAATTATCAAAACAACTGTACACAGCACTTCTTGATACATATTTCCTAAAACAATGTTGAAAATGATTACTTTCATTATCTTAGTGGTTTTTTTATAAACTTTACCTGGATGGTCGAACAACAAGTACATGTTTATCAGGAAAATTTGTTGCAAGTATACGAGCAGAATTTTCTAAACTCCATTCTGTATATTTTTTACTATCTGTGTATTGTTCCATATTTTCTTGAATATCCTACAAAAATATATGTTGTAGACTATGCAGTTAAATAAATAGATTTTCATAGTTGCTGTTCTAATATTGCTGTATACCTGCACATCGCCCCCAAAATATACAAGAATGTCCTGGCCCTGTGGTAATATTGAACGGGAATAAATTATATCATTGCACCGGCCAGCGATACCAGGAACGTTCTTCCAAATCCAAGTTTTAAACGACATAATGTTCGAGATACAATATTTTTTCGTAAATCTAAAACGGTTTTCCAATATACTCAGCAGGTAAATGGTTTTGTAACAAATAATTGAATAAGTTTTACCAAATACAACATCAATATTCCAATTCGTGATTTGTTTAATTTAAATCATTGGTCATATTTTTCACACATACAGTCAGTCACCAAAGTCTTCGTACACTCCCCTAAAATAGTAATTTTAAAGAAAATAAGTAACAATTTCGTATAATATTATATTTAGTTATTATTATGTATGATATTATTAATTGAACCACATCAAAATTTATTGTTTTATTAAAGCATATTTTATACAATGAGGAAAAACCAAAATATGTATGTCAATCTAGTAAATTTTTGAAACATACACGCCTGGGCTTCCCTGATAATGTTTTGGTTACGTTGTCATTACGTCGTGATTCAGTTGAAAGATATCTAATAATCATTTAGCGACAATGAGTACTTCTAGGAGAGAAACAAGCGCTGAAATGCGGGAATTAATTCTTAAATTCTATAAGGAGAAGAAATCTCTATGTGAAATTGCTAACATTGTGGGTAGAAAAACATTCTACTATCCAACACATAATAAAAAAATTCAAAACAACTGGTAAATATGATAATAAAACACGTAATGGTCGTCCTAAAATCCTAAATAATAGAGATGTTTGATCTGTACTGCAAATTATTCGCCAAGATCCAAAAGTAAGTGCTCCAAAAATAGCCGCAGAAGTAGAAAATGATTTTGGACAAACAGTACACCCTGAAAATATTCGAAGAATCTTGAAAAAATCTGGATGTCGTAGTCATGTGTCGTGGAAGAAACCCTTAGTCAGTGACATCAACCGTTCTAAGAGAATTGAATTCGCAAAAAAACATGAAAACGAGAATATACAATTTTGGGAAGAGGTATTATTCACTGACGAAAGTAAGTATAATATTTTTGGAGCGGATGGAAGAGGCAAAATATGGAGGAAAAGCAGCAGAGCATTTGATTTGCAAAACCTAATATCAATTGTAAAGCATGGTGGTGGATCCGTTATGGTTTAGGTCTCAATGGCAGCCTCAGGAATTAAGAGTCATTTTGTGTCATACATATTTCGCTTTTTTCTCATTGCATAAAATATTCCAAAAAAATAATACATTTTTATATAGATTAATTAATAATATTGTACATATTAATAAGTAAACATAATATTATATGAAATTGTTGTTTATTTTCTTCAAAACGACCATTTTAGGGGATGTACAAAGACTTTCGTGACTGACTGTAATTCCGTTTTGTTTGTATTCATATTAATATCCTAAAGGGTATCGAAAATCATACACAATAATATTATAGCACTTAATTCTAATAAATACTAATCGATTGTATAGAAAGCGAAACGAGGCAAAGAGAGGCGAAGCGAGAGTAGCGAGCGGGCAAGGCATGTAGGTTAAGGCTAGGTTAAGAGTAGGTTAAGCGGGGGGAAGATAGAGAATAAGGGAGGAATTGTAAGGGAAAGGAGAGGAGATATGTAACCCTAAGGGGAACATTAAATACATACTACTACTACTAATCGATTGTATTAGCAAGCTAATGATATTAGAACATACATATTAAATATTTAAAATATTTTATACACCGATATCGTTAAGCCACAGACGAGATATATGAATAGACGTTTCACCTTATGGACTTTCGCGGCCGAATCTGACTGTCATACCGACCTGAAAATTCGTAACTGATTTTAGCGGCCTCTTCTCATGGATGGCGGTTAGTTGAGAAACTAGGCACTGAATTAGTATTGATGGGCAGCCAGCTGAGTGGGTACGTAAATACATGTGAGTTGATTATGGGAGGGATTGGAAAAGACAGTGGAGTATTATCAGACGGCAGACCCGTGCCCAAAGGGAACTGCCCCACCACTCACACACACTAATGCCAACCACCTTGTATATGAGTTCTGGCGTTTCGTATAGCTTCGTAGATTCGAGAAAGGCGGCGAATGTCAGTCTATCCTTCTTGCTCTCAACACAGCTGAAATTCGATCTCGCATATTCTCGAGCCGAGATTCTCGACTGCCTAGGCATTTTTGACTTTCCGACCTGTGTAGGCATATACAATGTATAAGCAATATACCATAATGAAGAAAAAATTACAAAAATTTGTTTTTACGGAAATACACGTTTTAAAACGATAATATTTTATGAACATATTTTAACCCTTTGCACTCGGTTGTCCCCTCTGAGGGGACATGAAAGTTTATTAGTGATTAAGAAGAATGAACTGATTTCACCGCAATTTTTTAAGAAACACATGTTTTCCTGTACTTTCCTATTAAAATGGGAAATATTCTATTAAAATGAGAAATATATCAGCCGTTTTTACGTTGGAAGTGGAAGGATTGTCGAGGATGGTCAGAGGCGTATGGTCGGATTCAAACACGTGGACAATAAACGTAACTATATAAACTATATTATTTAATGTATACTAAAATTATTTAATATAAAGAACATAAAACGTAAACGTAAAAAACTATAAACGTAAAATCGAAACTTCATTCAAAGTCGAACCATTCCTATTGCTATCTTCGTTATAAATAAATTAACGTTCTTTGTCGGACAATAGAATGAATAATAAGCTACATATTCCAAATGTAGGCCAAAGAAACCGGGACTGCATTATATGTTCCGACAGGAAAACACCAGGAGAAAGACGTCAAACAACATTTTATTGTGAAACATGTATAAATCAACCTGCTATGTATATTGGGAATTGTTTCAGAATTTACCATACCATAGAAAATTATGAGAAATAAATTTTTATTTTGTATTGTAAATATGTGTTCTTCAATGTCCATAAATACATATAAACCAAATTTCAACACAATGCCTTACTTGGTTCCAAAGTTGTACCATATAATATCACAAATATCGCTGTTACTACAATGAATTCTATCTACACTTACGTGACTGTTATATATATACGACTCGCCGATTGTTGACAAAAAATCTGCAGTATGTATACGACTCGCCGATTGTTTATTGTTTCTATAGATACATCGAGGCGGCCGGCAATGAATGCGTATAACAGCTGTGCTTAAAAACTCGATTTGTGTAGCCGGCCGCCTAACGGCGGCCACGCATTCATTTTCTATTTCAATTTTCTTTATTGATATTATCAGAAGTGGGAAAGATTTCAGCCATTATTTCGACAAATTTAATTATTAGATCATTAGCATGATATTGTCGACGGAAGAAGAATTCAACTAAATAGCCTACATAATGTATTTGGCGAGTTCCATACGTCAGAATATTCGAACCTTTGACAACAATGCAGAACTAGATTTAGCTCGACACATTATACATTATTTGTCGTCGGTTGTCATGCCGACTAATACAAACAAGAGAAAAAAGCAACGATCGTGGACTGATGCAATACAGAGCCACAGAATTCATTGTAGTAGTAGCGATATTTTGAAGAAAAATCTCGGAAACTAAGGCCGAGAGACGGTTATATGTATAGGAAAAAGTTGCTCAAAATGTTAATTTCTACAACATATTCAAAAATCATCGAAATCGGTGAGACCCGGCCTTTTCTAAATAATTACCTCATTTTCTTTCAATAATTCTCCATTGCAAAAATTCTACAGTATTCTTACATTTTTTTATATTTTAAAATTTTCCCATGTTATTAGAAAGTAGATATACAACGAAAGTTATACAATTTATAGTTCCTAGCATGTATAACATGTATATGTATATAACGCATGGTCGCTTCGTATGGAAAGTCAATGAATCTTCAAAAAGCGCCCAGGTCCGATTTCGAGAAATGTAAGGTCTGTCAGTCACGATGGCTTTTGTCGTTTACTGACGATTCGAACGGTTGGCGATGCCAGGCTTGCTTTCGAGAAATGTAAACGACGTCAGCGATGCAAGAGCGAGAAGGAAAGCGAGTATCAGCCTGTTCTTCTCGGCTCTTCCGAAACTCAACGCGCTCACGTACACGCAATTGAGCATAGTGTGCGAAAGCGAGGAATGAGGAGTTTCCGGGGCCCCGATGCACAGTCTGATTAAACTGATTTCGAGTCGCAAATACGTTTCTGCCGAGTTATTTTTTTAATAAATGATGTATTACAATTTAAAATAAAAAATAGAGAATTTGCGGTGTACGTATCAATGAAATACATCCTTATGAATTTTAATAATCTTGAAATTTTTAAATACTCTAAATCGATTGATTTCTCCAATGAAATTAATCGATTAATGTCCAATGATGGACCCTACAGCTTTAATTCCGTTAAAAAATAATAAAATTTATGTAATTTTATTTTCTGTCTCACTTCCTCTTGTGTTAATTTCTGAATCTGTTGATAACGTAGCGAGTGACACGAAAATGGTAATGGGGTCCCGGGACCCCAGAAACTCCGGCCGAAAAATTACATTACGTGAAACGTCTATTCATATATCTCGTCTGTGGTTAAGCTTCGAAGTCGCTTTTATCTTTTGCCGTCGGTCGTTATCGACAATCGATGAAAAGGACAGCGAGCGAGAGCGAATGAGAAAAAGAACATTGCTTTTTTATACAAATTAATCTTATTGATATTTTATACAAAAAATATGTAAATCGTACATTACCATTGTCATTATTTTAAGAATTATGTACGTTTTGAAAACTACCATTTCGAAACTGAACTTCGTCAGGAACGAAGTACGACAATTATTGTGTAAGACTTGAAATAAAAATAGCGAATGTTAAATCCAACTTTACTCGTATATTTTATTACAATTGTATGAGATGTTAAGAATGTACAAATTTGGTAACACTCTTAGAAAGGTTTAAATTGTACGCTTGGAGGTTATGCTTTATAACCTAATCCTTTGAATATTTCCAGTTTCAAGAAAATTAAAAAAAAATCCAATTATGCAATCTGATACAGATTCGAATAAAACAGTTTGGGATCCCATTAATGTATTAAATCCTCCCACACACTACAAATATGCTGTAATTATACTGAATCGTCCTCTTTTATGGAAACGTGATATTTTATTCAATATCTGGGAAAAAGGTATGTTTTTTATATTTTAATTTCTTAACTTTGATCCCAAATTATTTCTTTCAAACAAAGATTATAAAATTAATAAAGAGAGAATTTAAACACAAAAGTTTGATTAGAAAAATTGTACTAGAATGTGAAATAATAAAATTCTGATTCGGGTTTGCGCTGAATAGTTATTGTCAGAAATTATTTGGTAATATATTTAATATTAAGCTCAGATCAATGTCACCGTCGATGGTGGAACGCTTAGGTGGATACATTATTTAGAAAAACAAGGTATCGACCTGTTGAATGAAAAATATAGCAAATACGTGCCAGATTTAATTACCGGCGACATGGATAGTTGTTCTTCGGCAGTTCTTGAACAGATGAAATCCATGGGTTCGATGGTCGTTGAGACACCTGATCAGGATCTTACGGATTACATGAAGGCCTTGATTGAGATAGGACAATTGAACAAGAAGGCAAAGATGAAGGTAATATAGGACATTTCATGAAGTCTTTTTGTACAAATTGCGTACGATAACGGGAACATTATTGTTTGCAGTTAAAGGCAATATATGTATTTGTAGAAACTTCAGGACGATGTGATCATATTCTTGGAAATATTAATACGCTATATAAAAGTGATCAGTTTATCAAAGATGTACAGGTAATTGTACCATGCTTAGTATTGGTATTGTTTGATAATGCTTCATTCCACTGCCTGTATTCTACTTACTACAGATTATACAAATTGGAAATAATTCGTTAACGTGGCTTTTGAAACAAGGTTTTCACACTATAAATATTCCTAACACTTTGGTGCAAAATAGTAGTTCGTGCGGACTATTCCCGATTGGCGAGCCTGCTAATTCCATTACAACAACTGGTTTAAAGTGGAATTTAAGTATGTTAATTGTTTTAACGTCGTATATTAAATATCATTGAATGGCGTCTGTGAAAAATGTTATACGACAATAAAATATTTCGTGTTTCAGACAATGCGACTATGCGGTTTGGGGGTTTGGTGAGTTCTTCGAATACTTATACTTGTTCTAAAATAACTATTCATACAGAAACGCCAGTGATATGGACCATGAATATCGCGCCACTTAAAGAAAATGTGAACAGTTGTGGAGAGCTTACAGTGAATTCTGATTGTCATTAAATGACATTATCTTTGGTAAAATTTTTAGTTAAACTTCCGAAAAGCATCCATCCCCGGGGGTGCTTTTCGAACATGCACCCGGATTTTTGATTTAATATATTCGGTCCTGGTACTTAAAAAAGGAACATAAAATAAAATAACTTTCATCAAAGTCGTGGAATATTAAATCAACGTTCAAACATTTGTTTACAAGGAATAATATAATTTAATATCATATTTACATTCCTTGAGCATTTTATAATTTAAATAGTAAATAATGAAGAGACCATGTCATTAATGTGGAATAAATGTAGAAATAAGATTTCGAATGTATTTAAAATGCGAGAAAAATTAAAGTAAAATGCTAATATAAACATTTCGTAATCCTAATATCTTCTGAATTTAATATTATAGAAATGATTACTAAGCATAGATAAATAATTAACACTGTAAATAGAAATATGATGTATTTTATTGTTGCATGCAGCATGATAACTGCATCAAGCAGAATATGACATATTGAATATGTATTTCTGTTTATTAAACTAGTTGAAAATGTTAATAAATCGCAGTTATAAACGTAAGATAATGAAGTGTATATTCGGTGGGAAAATTATAAAAATAATTAATACGAAACCGTAGAGTAGAATAATTATTGCAAGAAAAATAATTATTTCAAATTACTATTGCAATTTTTGTCTCTTAAATTTTCATAAACATTTCGTCCGGAATTAAATTGTTATTCAGAAGTTTAGGAAATCGGTACATTTATCGACTTGAACCATATTTGCAGAGAGTCGAGACCGATGCATTTCGGTCACGATCACGGTCACGGTCACGGTCATTGAGATGAACTGGAATATACGGTCATTTCAACAGGGTTCTTTGAGACTTGAGAGAGGAATACCCTTTCAAGAGCTTCCTCTTAACTCTTTGGGGCACGCTGGGATTAACAGTGTCCCTTTTTGATGCACCGTAATACATGATGGGACATTTTTAGTCCCACCTCGAAATATTGCAATAGCTGCATGCGCGCGGATAGGTTTAAATTTCGTCTTATTTACGTAAAGCAGTTGATAATATCTTCAACAAATGTTACAAATGTATTCACTTGTGTTGGTAACATTCAACTTGCCAATATAGGTTCATCAATTGTTGCAAGCGAAAGATTTATTGCGACAATCTTTTTTTTATGTTTTTGCATTATGTGATACCTTTGTTAATAAAAATATACCAATTTTGTTTAATTCAAAACGCAATAAAATTTCTATGCAACATGGGTTTATTTTATCATCGGAAATCCTGTGCCGCAAAGAGTTAACCAAAACTGTTGAGACTCAAGAGAAAGGTCAATCTTTACTTTTGAAACGTAAAAAAACGGTGAAAAAGAATTCTCGAGTAGTCGAAAAACGGTCAGATTTAATGGTCAGGCGGGTCAGGTCAGGACTGAATTTGTTAGATTCGTAGTTGTTCTTCTTTACGCTTGTAACTCGACCTTTAATACTTAATATTTTACTGCAAAATACATAGAAATATTTGTATAATACATGTATTCATGATAATAATTGTATAATAACATTATTTATAAAGACTAATTTATTTATACAGGGTGTTCGGACACCCCTGGGAACAATTTTAATGGGAGATTTTAGAGGCTAAAATAAGACGAAAATCAAGAATACCAATTTGTTAATAGAGCCTTCGTTAAAAATTAAATTACAAAATTTCAAAACATACTGAAAAAATTATTTTTGGTTGCGGGGCTGAATTACAATTATTTTCGGTGAATACGCATACCCTTGAAATCCTACCCACTGTCGAGAAAAAAATTCAAGTAGGTACTGACATTTTTAGACGAAACTGAAAAATTTCAAATCATAGTAAAAAAAATATATTTAGTTACAGAGATCAATTACAAGTATTTTTTGTGAATAGACGTACCCCAGAATCCTACGCACTTTCGAGAAAAAAATTCGAGTAGGTGGACAAATTTTTCAACAAAATTAAAAAATTACAAACCGTTCTGTAAAAATTATTTTCGTTTGCGGGGGTCAATTACTATCATTTTTGGTTATTAGACATATCCTCGAAATCCTACCCACTTTCAAGACAAAAATTCGACAAGGCGTGAAATTTTTCGACAAAATTAAAAAATTTCAAATCGTTCTAGAAAAATTATTTTCGTTTGCGGGGGTCAATTACTATCATTTTTGGTTATTAGACATATCCTCGAAATCCTACCCACTTTCAAGACAAAAATTCGACAAGGTGTGAAATTTTTCGACAAAATTAAAAAATTTCAAATCGTTCTAGAAAAATTATTTTCGGTTGCGGGGGTCAATTACAATAATTTTTGGTGAATAGATCTACCCCCGAAATCCTACCCATTTTATGGAAAAAAAATCAGTTAATAACTTTTTAACGAAGCCTCCATCAACAAATTGGTATTCTTGATTTTAGTTCTACTTTGGCATCTAGAATCTCCCATTAATATACTGTATACTTTTATAAATAGATTTTCAAAAATAAATTACTTTCAATTATTGACGGAGGATGATCAACTTTTATTGAACGGCTTGGCTGTTTCGAAACTTTTGGAGGGTATTGTACGTCAGAATGATCAGCTGTAGCGATGTTTACATTTGTGGCGTCCTCGACGACGGTCCGCGTGGTGGGGTCGCGGCCACTAGCCAGTTCCTCGCGGTCTTTCGGCCGGTTAGTATCGTTTTCTTAGTAGCTTTCTTCGTTTAGCCGTAGTATCGTTTCAGTTGTCGCTGCCAATTGTTTGCGGGTTCACAGTGAAAGTTTTCTGGGGCGCACAGAAGCGTGGAGCACTCGATATGTCGGATGTCGTTGGTTAAATAATTGGTAAGTCCATTGTTATCGCAATACGTCACAGATTTCATTCGGTTTCGAAAGAGCTCGTCGATGGGAAAATACACTGTGTCGATCGAATCGTCGTGAAAACACGAGGCTCTAGTGTCGCAACTCGCGTTCCAACGTGTGCATCTATCCTTACCGCGTTTTTCGAATTGCCTCTTGTATTATAAAAAATTTTAAATATTTGTAAAGGTGTCTTTTCGCAATAGAATCCTAGGTTTTTGTTTGTAAACGTCCGACATTATTTCAGCAACCTAGTTATTAATTCTCGAGCGGTTCCTTAGAATCAGTATTGGTCCAAACTTACCGTGGGGTTTGAATGTTATTTTTTTAAATAGGTTTTTTTGAAGAATTTCTCTTGACTATTTCGACTAAGGAAAGCTACGTAGGGAGTTTAACACTAGATTTACCAGCTATTTAAGTATTCCTATTTCTACCAAAACCAGTCAGAATGACCGGTCTTTAGAAAAAATGCTTAGTGGGGTTTTCAGTCTTTACTTACTTTTAAAAAATGACAGAAAAAGATTAATAATATTAATTGTAATACATAAATAGACTTATTGACATTATCAATTAATCAAACGTTTAATTGTTTATAGTTCATTGGTCACAATTTTTACATATGCTGATTTTGCTCTGTGTGTACTTTCCGCATACATTTTTTTTTGCATATATTGCAAATAGTTGTGGTCTTATTATTATTGCAATATCCTATTTGACACCATTTACGTATAGGAGCAGTGCCACTTGAACTTGATATATTAGCTTCTTGTGGTTTTTCCCTTGAAGTCTGATATTCAAAAGCAAGTTCTTCAGTTAGTCGAAACAAAAAGTCTTTCCTTGATACATTTTCACCTGCGTGTTTTTATACAATATCCAGCAATTTATTCCAGCTAAATCTAAAACATTGAAAAAAACTTAAAGTGAAATTTTGTGTTATTATAAAAAGACACAGTTTCTAGTAATTTCTTGTTAGTTTTGTCAATTTTTATATGTTCGTGTTTTGCACTTAGTACAAGTACTTTCTTATTCAGTTTACTCTTATAAACTGTAAGTGTAGATCCATTTGATTCATATAGCAGCGTTGAGAAACGAACCATGTTATCTTTGTTCTGTTTGCAAATTTTCGGTATTTCCCTCCTGTTTGCACGTATTGTTCCAAGCAACAAAGTATTTTTAGACAATAATTTCAACGCCGGAGGCAAACTGGTGATGAAATTGTCCGTTGTTATGGTTCTACCTTTCGAAGGACATGGTTCTACAAGTTTCAGTACAACATATTCACTTAGCGGAGTTGATGAATCTCGAGCCTCATCTTTTCCCAAATAAGGAAAGCTACTTATTACATATTTAGTTTCAACGTCAGACACCAGCCAAAATTTCATGCCAAATTTATGAGGCTTGTTTGGCATATATTGTGTGAACCTGCATCTGGCCTTTGTTAGAAAGAGTTGCTCATCCTCCGTAATATAAGCTCCTGGTTTGAAGCAATTTTGGTTATTTTCAATAAATTTATCCCAAACTGTTGAAACTAAAGCGAATTTGTCTCTTTGTAAACGTAAACTCCTCTAATTTCTTTTGTCAAAACGAATGTAACGTAAAACTTTGGTCCCCACTTGTTATTCCGTAAATATTCAAGTTTCAAAGTGTTTCCTTTCTACGACCCATGTGCATACAATATCGCAATAAACGCCTTCAATTTTGCTTGCGAGGAGAACCTTATGTGTAGCCCAAAACCCTGAGTATATATACATTTCCAAAGGCCACTACACGTACTGCATCAGAATCATGATTTTCCTGGAATCGTATATTCTGTACCAAAAAAATGTTGCAGTACTTATCAATTGTTGTAGCTGCCCTAATGTCATTTCATCGCATGGAAACATGCAGCAGTCATTTTGACTGGTACTGGTATAAGTGTCAATAACAAAAAATATATTTGTTATGAATATATATAAAATAATATACAGTTCATAAAACTGATTCTTTAGTTATAGCTACAAAAGTCATGACATCATTTGGGAAAGAAAAAGTTACATGCAGTAGGAATTTTGAATTGAAATTGCAAGACCTGTCAAAATGACTGGTCTGGTAAATCTAGTGTTAAGTGAAAGTGTCAGCTAACAGTGAAAATGTAAAAAAAAAGGAAGAGCAAGACCGTTTCACCTCAGACCTGGAAGAGGTGCTAAAGGGTGGGCAAGTAGGTAACCTTGTTGCAGGAAGGGAGAAATTTTAGTCTTTGGCCGATGCAAACAATGTGGCGTTGGTTGCCAAATCTGAGGATGAAACAAAAGATACGACAATGAGATTACAGAAGTATCTGGGCAAGAAAAAGAAAGATAATGTTATTTAGCAAAGATGGGGAAGGGTAGGACCTGGATGAGGTGAAAGAGTTTGTTAATTTGGGTATGTATTCCCAAAAGAAGGGCAATATTGTGGTTAGGCTAGTATGGGAAGTTAAAGAAAGGATATTTGCGAATGACTAAGAGAAAAATGTTGGGGAAAGGTCAACGAGGTACATGAAAAAGATGAGAAGAATAGAGGAAAGGAAACTCTTAAAGTAATATTTAGAAGAAAAAGAAGTAATGGAAGGGAAAGAATAGAGTAATTGACAACGTTAAAAGTATGAGTTCTGAAAGTAAATATAAATAAATAATGATGGAAGGTGTACATAATGTTCGTCTTTTGAAATCAGTCGAACGACACTGAAAATAAACAAGAGAATTGGACATTCTGTTTTTGGTCGGACACCCTGTAAATTCGGTGTTAAAATTCATTAGGGCACGAAATCGATACGTGTAAAGTATACTGTGCGTTTAGTATAGTCGAGAACGTTTTCTTCGGCGCAACGTCATACATATAAACCTAATTCGTCTGGTACGTCTATTCTTGCGTTCATAAGGTTATTTACATTCGGTGTCTGACACCATTTTGGTAGCAGGGCACAGCACTCGGGCCAGCCTGAGCTACTTATTGTTGGCCAAAGCACGCGAAACGACGCGGAAGCGTCGAAACATTCGCTCGATGCCGCGCCGTTCACCTTGACCAGGAACCCAACCACCAGATTCAGACGTCTAAACTAAATTTAATTCTGGCAATTTTTTAGGAAATAATGATCTATTAAAAATGATCGGGGAGGCAGGGACATAAAAATGAAAATTTTAAAAAATTAAAAAATTAAAAAATTTTACTTTTGAAAAATGAAAATTTTGGTCGTTCCAAAAAAGATCAAGGAATTCAGATCTTTCAGTAATTGAAACTAAATTTTTATTCAAATATTTGCGTGTTGTATGGTCGGAGTAAAAAATGATAAAAATTCGTTCGCAGAGAGGGAATTTAAAAGAACTAAGTATCAGAGGGCCTTGAATAGTATTTTATTTAATAAACGTTTAGTATGTATAACGCGAATGGCGGCACAAATATTCGATTGCATCATTCGAGCGCGTAATCTTCTAATTATTTCGAGCGACGTTAAAAGCAGTCACGAGAAAACGTGTTATTGCAATGAATTATCTGCGATTATCGGGACGAAATTACTGATGAAAACGTCGGTATAAAGTTAGGCTGATCCGTAAATATCGTTGTGAGAATGAAATTTGGCGCTGGGGTGTTACATCAGCGAAGTTAGGGTAATAAGGCGGTCATGAGTGTCAACAGTGTCTACAGGATCGTTTGGCAGATAGACGAAATAAGTACTGCTTAACGATCGACAGATCGCATATACAGGGTGTTCGGCCACACCTGCGAAAAATTTTAATGGGAGATTTTAGAGGCCAAAATAGGACGAAGATCAAGAATATCAATTTGTTGATGGAGGCTTTATTAAAAAGATATTAATGTTTAAAGTTCCGCCCGTACGGAATTTTTTTCTCGAAAGTGGGTAGGATTTCGGGGGTATGTCTATTGACCAAAAATTATTGCAATTGACCCCCGTAACCGAAAATAAATTTTTTTAGACCGATTCAAAATTTTTTTTTCCTCGTAAAATGTAGGCTGTTGGATATGGTTGGAAAAATGAAGTAAAACTATTATTATTTAAAACTTTATGATAGGTTTTATTACAAGCAGAGAGAGATTGTGTCTTTACTCAAAGAGAGAAACTAAAAGACTGAACGTCGTGAACGAAAATTCGTCACGCATTCGTAGACCCTCTTGGGCCCTATCTCGCTTACAAGGGGAGGTCATACCCTGTCAACCTGGGATTTCAACCAAATTTGGCAGAGTTGTTGGGGCTGATGTCCAAACGCAATCTGTAAAATACTAGACGTTTATGGCCAGCCATTTTGTTAAAAAATTGCCTTAAAGTTTAAAATTTCGAAGTTGTCGGATCGACGTTTTTTTTTTTAAATTGTCGGTCTCGAAGAGGGGAACACAAAAGTCCAATACATTTTTGCCGTAACATCAATAGTTTAAACAAAAATTTGAGTTTTTGTGACGGGATAAATGCATATGTACCGTATAGTTGAAGTGTATTTTCAGCAGTCATGGTAGCCGTGGAGTTAGCGTCGAGGAATTCGGGTCGGAAGACTGGGGTTCGTGTCCCCGGAACTAGAACATTTTGTTTTTTTTTCTTTTTTTCGCTTATATTTGAATGTTTATTTAATATTAATTTTAATTTTTAAGTTCATGGAAAAAGATGGCTGTTACAAATAAATAAAATACTATTATGGTTATAAATGTTTATTTTCACACATACTTACAAACATATTCTCATATATATTTACATCTCACGTATAAATAAATACAAAAATTAGATATTTATTTCATACGGGTTTAGCAATGCATTGTATGATTTTTATCATAAAAACAGGAAAAACATAATGGTTTCATACACCAAGCGTATGTTATAAATGCTTGTTCTGTACAGCATTTTTTATTTCTTAGGTCGTGTGGAAAACATACTTGATTCACGTTACAAAAGATTTCTTTTTTATGATTCGGGGTGAGTTTAGACGCATACCATGCATATTTAATCATGTCGGTAAAAA